CAACAGGGTGAAATTATTATCAAGATAATGTCAGCAACAAGCAGAAATGGGTTTTTTATTTTTCATTTTGTCTTGTTTTAATTTTTCCAGGTAAACGAGGTGAATGTAGTGAAGGTGGGCCATAAGCAGGTGGTGTCCTTAATCCGGCAAGGGGGCAGCAGACTCCTGATGAAGGTCGTTTCTGTCACACGCAAACCCGAGTCTGAAGAAGTTGTTCGGAAAAAAGGTAAATCCAGGAATGCTGACATTTCAACATCTGAACGATTATTGTTTATTTAATACCTGATTCATAGGCGGTTCAGAGGGGGGTCCAGAGTGGGCCAGAGCCCCCCTGTCAGCAAGATCAGACTAGTGATGGTAAATTTGATTATTTTTACTGAATTGAGTTTGAATGAGTCACTCATCAAAACGAATCGAGTTTTTTGATTAATTTAAGTCACTTGAGTCAGTTGCCCAGAGTGCTAACTGAAATCTACATTATCACTCAAACCTCATCTACTCCTCTTTCCATGTAAATCCTACCACTCACATGAGTGATAAAAAAAATACATTTATACACTGAAATGTATTTATTTTTTAATAGTGGTGTAATAGAGTTAATATATGTTTTCTTTAGTCTGCTTATTAGGAAAACAAAAACAGAAACAATTATAACAAAGAACCGAGAGGACATGCAATTTTAAAAAAAAGTTACATTAAAGGCAAAGACGGAAGTCATAGAACAAAAGGAGCATATACATTTTCTAAACAAATATTTGGAGACACTAGGCATTATATTTTTGCACAATGATTTCTAATTATTGAACAGGAAAAGGATTTGAATTCCATCAAAAAACATGAAACTGAGTTTCAGCGGCTGAGAGCTGGGAGGGGTGTAGTACCGTAAGCTTCCACTGGGTGACTTCAATCAGCTGAAACCCGAGTGGACGAGTGAGTGATTTGTACTGCAAGTTGTGTGATTCATGACTCATGAAAAAGCCAGGTTAGGGGTGAGCCAGCTTCCACTGGAAGAACTGAAACCCATAATGGAGGGGGTGAGTGAGTCGTCCGTGCTCTGAGGGAGGCCTAGTCTGGCTTGCCAGACTCCTCCTCTGTTTAATTCTGCACAGAGAAAGGGTCTGGGAACCCTCCAATTCAAATTACCCCACCCCGTGAGAATTCTAACCGAGCCAATCAGCGCTGAGTAGCGTACGTCACACACCACAACGCTGAATTTGTCATAAACATGGCGACTGAAGTGGAGTTCGCTGCGGCTCTTTCCTCTGTTCTAAATGACTTGAACATGTCTTTAAAACAACAACAAGTAGAAGCGCTAAAAGCCTTTCTTGTAAAGAAAGATGTTTGCGCTGTCGCCAGACACTATTTTTGACTACAGCTAAAAACTACAGCGTCATGGATGTCACACACAGCGACGCTCAGTTTCTACTAAACAACAAAGACAGTGGCGGAGTTCACTGCGGCTCTTTCCTCTGTTCTAAATTGGTTGAATAACCACAACAAGTAGAAGCGCTAAAAGCCTTTCTTCTAAAAACTAAATGAATAAATAGATGTTTGCGCCGTTGCCAAACGCTATTTTTGACGAAAGCTAAAAAAACTACAGTGTTGCGCGGTACAGTCAGCATTTTCGTATTTTTTCTTCTGATTGGTTATTTTTGAGTTTTTTTGTGGAGTAAGACTGAGACTGAGTAAGACTGGGGGGGGCTTGCTCTTTAACTTTTTTTAAAGAGTATGTCACCCCCTACTAGAGTATTACTCCACTCCCACTTCCTGTTTGAAAAATGCAACAAATGCTGTTGCCTAGCAGACCGAGAGGGCGGAGCCGCAAACAAACACACACACACACACACACACACACACACACACACACACACACACACACACACACACACACACACACACACACACACACAGGTTAAAGTGATCCTCGTGACTGAAGCATCTTTGGGATAAAACAGTGAAACTGAACACTCGTCTTCCCTCAAGTCAGCTATCAGTTGAAGCTGTCGAGGAGCGACACTGATTCAGAGAAAGTCAGGGCATTTCTGTGGTAGCAATGTGATCGGATAAATTATCAACCACAGGCTTGCATCCCTCGGCATCCCATAATGATGTGGTGCTCCCAATTGGTGGTTTTCCAAAAGGATGACCAGGATTTGTTTCAACTTTCCCTGGAAATGTTCACTTTAGGGTGTTTTGGACCAATTCTCAAACCTTGGAAAAATTAAACCTTGAGGTTTCCTCTCTGCTTTCTTGTTTAAAGAGCAAGTCACCCCCTACCAGATTCTTACTCAACGCCCACTTTCTGTTTGAAAAATGCAACAAATGCTGTTGCCTAGCAGACCGAGAGGGTGGAGCCGCTAACAAATACACACACACACAGGCTCACAACGACATTGTGACATCATATGGTACCAGCTAACGTTCTAGGGTACCTCTTAGCCAATAGCGATGGCAGATTTAAATTAAAATGCAGTGCAGAGATTTTACCTGACAACGGCACAACTCTGATCGTTTTAGGCAGAAAATTAAAATTTTAACTAAAATGCAATAAAGTGCAAAACTACTGACTGCATGTGTCTGCAGCACGATTAGACACACACTTATATAGTTTATCAGAAAGAAAAAGTTGATTTGGGGGTGACTTGCTCTTTAACTAATTCACTGCCAGCCGTTGCCTGATCACTAAAGGCCTTCACGGCCAGCGTTTCTCGCCATTTTTACTGTTTTTTTAAGAGTGACAGAACGTTGCACATTAGGATGATGTCGACGCCAAAACAACCAAAACAAAAAGGAGACTCACCTCTTACATCAGGTTGAATCCGCGTGTTTCGAGCGTTATCCGTTTTTTCATAATCTGTTGTTGAATTGTGATCGGCAGACGCTTTTCCGGTTCGCGCTCGTTCCGATGCCCAAACATTGAAAAAAATGCTAATGACGACTTTAGTTGTCATTGGCAGTGAACGGTTGGATGTAAAATGACGACTTTAGTCATCAATGGTAGTGAATGAGTTAGTCATGTTTTAATAACTTTAGAATAGCCAGAGAGTCTAAAGCTATGGTAACTCACTTGCTTTTCTTATAATGTTGTAGTTACGCTCTAAAAATTATAATCCATTTAATGTCACTGCTGAGTTTTAAGAATTTCATGACATAATAGAGAAATGCAAGTTGCTTTTACTTACAGACTGAAGTTGGTTTGTTTTTGTTGCATTAGTGAAGTCCACCACTTTTCTCTGCTGTGAATTTGTGTGGTTTCCATGTCAACCACAGCTCACCATCACTCTGCTCCCACACAGTCCTGGCACACTGACCTGCTACAGTTGTGTTTATCTGCTTGTGTATGTGATTGGTAAAATACAAAGCAGCTACCTTGTGATTAATGAGATTAGGAGGCATAAATAAATAAATTTGACCCAGTTTTATTGGACAAAGCTGAAACTTGCTTCTCTCTGTCCTCCTCCCTGCCAGCGATGAGAGGAGCTCCAGACAAACAGATCCCTTAATGCCTGCTGTGTGACTTCTCCTCCCATGGCACATCAAACGTTTTTGTCAGGTTAATGTTTTTTTTTAATCGGCTGAAGATGGGTGGCTTTCTGTTAGTGTTTGTTATCCCTGTGATGGACTGGGTTTAACAAGGACTGGGTTTAACAACTTCTTTCACCTGAAACCAGTGAAACACGATCAAGGAATTGTAGTTTATTATGTCAATTAATATTATATATTTATTCTATATTTGTTTAGCACACAATGTTTCCTCTGGCTTTGTCGATACAACGTTTTTCTTGGAGGAGTCGTGCTGAATTTCACAGAGATTTTATTTTTATTGCAAAATTTGCGAAAACAGAATTTTTTTTTAAGCAAAGGAAACTTGAAGGTTTGGAGCAGCTGTGCAATTATATTCTTTACAATGAAAAATATGTAACAAAAAGAAAAGTAATCCAACTGAATAATTTATCGATTTTGATATTTTGGACAAATCAAAATAGAGGAACAATATTTGTTCAATCTTTAATTTGACAATAAATGAAGACATGAATACAACTTTCATTCCATTACCTCTCACCGTATATATGGAGCTAGCCATTGGGACGATATTACATGTAACTTGTAACATGTTTTGTAACTGTAACTTTAATTTTGTAGCCTGTAACTCACGTTTTGTAACACAAAACTTTTGTTATGTAACATGTTATGAAACTTTGTACAAGTTACATGCAATATTGTCCCAATCCTAGCTCCATAAATAACTATATGCCACAAAGAAAAATAATTCTAAATAATTCTGACTTAAGCCTGATTCATGCTTCTCCATCTGCGTCAGTGCGGAGACACGCAACGCCATTATTCGTCCTTGCGGGCCTGCCGGAGAGCTCCACAAGGACGGACGGAGTCGAGCTCCCTTTTCTAAACATCCATCTGTCGAGATGGACAACGCAAGCTTGTGATTGGTCAGGACGCCGCTGTCGTCTACACTGCCGCCATTGCACCCTCAAAAATATAAAGAGAGCCGAGGATAACTAGCGGCAGACATGGAGCAGCTTGAAGAATACCTCGCGAAAAAACTCTAAAAACATGAACGTTTGATTCCCCCGTGACTGGAGGAGTGAAAAGATGTGCAGCAAGCGTTTTATTTGTGGACGGAAATGACAGGAAACGTGGGTTGAGAGGTGGCGAGTGCATGAAGAGGTGGAGGAGGATGAGAGACAGATGTGTCTGTTAAAAAGTCTATTATATACAAAAAACACAATATAGACACACTATCTTGGACCGGATACATGACAGGATACCACAGAACAGCGCTACGCCCTCTGTTGTCCTGGTGGGGAATTGCTTTGCAACACTCCCCAGGGGACGGAGAAGTATGAGAGCAAAACGCTTCCGTGCGTGCGTGTCTCTCCCTGTTGGAGCTGACGGAGAAGCATGACTCAGGCTTTAGAGGAAGACTAATTTAGTCAGAATTCAGTTTTAATGACTGATCAGCCTAACTCTTGCATCAAACCCCTCTGGCATAAATTTGGCCAGATATTGTATCAGGATTAGTACTTTCTTCACAAACCTGTCGTATTAAGTCCTAATCATGTCTTCTGCCCCCTGGTGGAGGATCTACAGAAGGCAACGGAAAAGTTGCGTCATTTTGCGTCATTTTAACAACCACGCCCCTCCACCGCGTCTCCGCACGGCCCAAGATTTCCGCAACGCGCACCTCGGAAAATTTCTAACCACGCGGACGGTCGGACGCGGAAAAACATGGCGGACCGGCAAGAACTAGTATGGCAGAGGTTCTTAAATACAGACATTTGTATGATTCAGCTCTCAGAGATCACCGTGATCAACATGTTGTTAATAATTCTTGGAGAGAAATAGCTCGCACTGTCGGAAAAGACGAGGACGCTGTTAAAAATGCTGAAATCCCATGTTGTAAACAGTAATTTCTACTGCTACTATGGTGTAGAGTTGGATGCATGCCATAGAGCTCCATGCTGCCCTCTACAGTTTGGGAGAATATTGGCTCACCGCAGAGACGAGCCGCACAAACCATAAACGCTGGGAGATGTGAAGCGCGCTCCATCCGCGAGCCGCATTACCAAGCGGAAAGTGAATGCGTCAAGCATAAACCGAGCTTTAGCTTCTACCTCCTTACCGTATACTATTCCTTTCTTTTTCTCCACTATGATCTGACATTGTTTCTTTTCAGGAACATGTGAATGCAACAACAGACAGTGACGCAGATGAAGGTCACAGCATGTTGATCAAACGTTTTATGAAAAATCAAGCATTTTAATTTCTCAAACTCCATAGTGTTTTTTTCTGTTTGCAACTTTTTTAGCTTCCACCTTCATTTTAAATTAAAACACGCTACAGTTGATGTCCATGATCTAATGACTGGGGTAAACTAAAAATGATGTAGTTGCCGAAACGCCTTCATTTTAAATTGAAGCATGAGATTAAAGCACATAGATAGAATGCCTTTGATGTTTCAGATAAGCAGTGAACCAAAACTCTCCTGGACTGTGATTAGCATCACTCATCACGGCTCATCTTCTCCTGTAAGACACACTCAGCACATTACACTCTTTGCCTTAGCGCAAAATGAGCAGGCACATGCTGACACACTCACAAGCAAACTCACTTTCTCCTCACTGTGCATGGCCTCACTACTGCCTGCCACCGTTGCCATAGTGACTACAATACATGTTTGAATTAAGCATTGCATTACAGCAAAAGCCACACTCTCTCTCTCCAGTCTGAGAATTTCTCTCTCCTCCTTTTCTCCATCCTCCTATCTCTGCTCATTGCTTTTTGGCACCACGGAGTGCAGGGTGGTGAGGAAATGAAGATGTTTGATGTGGACAGTGCTTAGGACAGCGCACGTTCTCTGGATGTGCACTTGCAGACAGAAGAGAGATAGTTTTGCGCAACTGAGACTTTGGGACAAGTGATCTAAAGAGTCCGGGTGCATTCGGTGTTAGCTGGTTGATTTCAGACAGAGACCTGAAGTAGTTCAATTGCGGAGGTTTGCAATGGGATTTATTTTAGATTGTGCATGTGGGATTGCAGTTTTATGTCTGGCTGCATGCTGATATAGTGACATTTTAATTCAAAAGATTTTTTAAAACCTTTAACTTTGCAGGTTGTTTTCAAGTCAACACTTGATCGATGCGATTTACTGCTTTGACTTGGATAGTGACAGCTCTGTTGCTTTTTTTTTGTTTACGTGTGCATGTGTGTGTGTGTGTGTGTGTGTGTGTGTGTGTGTGTGTGTGTGTGTGTGTGTGTGTGTGTGTGGTAGTAGTTTTAGGATTGGGAAGCTCCCCGGAGCTTTGGTAATGTAAAGTCAGCAGCGCATCATTTTCCTTAGCTTAAATTTGCTGTCATCCTCTTGTCTGTCGCCCTACGTGTCATGATGTCCTGCCTCAGGGGGGTTTCTTTGTGGATGATGAGCATGCAAGTGTAACCCAAGGCGTTTGTGCATTTAGCACAGCTGCTAAACTCAGAGCAGACTGTATAATAAAGGAAAGATGGATGAGCTGCTTCCCCTCTATTCTGCACATGTTGTACTTACTCTGCCTGTTGTTGCAGACAAATTATGTTGTTGGATGTTTAATGGGAGATTTCAAAATGCTAGGGATGCTTCACAGAAGAGCGACTTGTTTCCAAGCTACAAATGGGCTCCTCGAGTGAAGGATATTCATGCAGCACAAACGTTACTAACTTGAAAAAGTTGCCAAGTCATCAGACAGTGAGAGAAGAAAACATGAAGAAGTTGACCTTCGACAGTGGCCTCAACAAGGTCCTCACTAAGTGTGAGACTTCAAGTTCATCTGAATTTGACCAAATGAAAACAGTCAGAACCGGGTGGTTTGGCCGTCTGGGAGATGCCAAAAAGGCACTGAGTCGCAAAGCCAAAGCGTTTTCATCTCCATTGCCTTCTTCCTCAACACCACGCCTTTTCTTCACAGCTCCTCCACCACCTAAAAGAGCCCCCAGCACCACCCTGACGCTACGATCCAAGTCCATGACCGCAGAGCTGGAGGAGCTGGGTGAGTTCCAGTAAAACCGGAGTTTGTTCCTGTTTTTCAATCACAATTCTCTCTTTGTCATTAAAATTTAGCATATCCCCAAACTTTTAAAGCAGCCACTTGTGCTGGCTTGTTCTTGTCATTTTACCTCCTCTGCTGACGCTATCTATTTCCCACTAAGCTTCTGCTCGGAGGAGAAGAGGAGGTGAGTCTGAGGCTAGAAACTGACAGTCCTGCGTGTCATATTGATGATTTATCATGACTGTTTAATCATAAGCAGGACTGAGCAGAAGCACATGAACTCTGTTCCTCCATCTGTTTTTGTTTTTCACTTTTCATCCCTTTATTCTCTGAGCATCCACTACTTTACCACAACAAAAAACAAAGATTCCAGTGCATCCCTTCAAGGCATGATTTCACATTTCAGTGTCGCTGTGTTTTAGATCAGCCTTTCATTGTCGTCCTGTGGCATCCATATCAGAAACGATGATAAAAACCTTTCCACTGTCTTATATCTTAGCATTTAGTTCTGGCTCATTTCCTTCTTAACAGAGAGGCTTGATGAAATGTTGGCATCACAGGAATCTATGTTGCATTCTCAACCCCCGGAGGCAGACTACCGAGCAGCCACTGTCAAACAACGGCCCACCAGCCGCAGAATAACACCAGCAGAGATCAGCGTGAGAGCACCTACACGCATCACATTGCATCATACATAGCGACCCAGTGTTGCATGTAACATATCAGCTTTGTAACTTTTGCTATCGATGATTGGGAATTAAAGATTTTTTTAAAGATGTGTGAGGGTCGCATACTGAGTGTTGGATTTTCTATTGTAGTCACTGTTTGAGAGACAAGGGATGACTCTACATGGAGGTCTGCATCCAGGGATTGAGAGAGGCCACATACCACTTCTTAAAGGCATGTCCAGGACCAAGTCTTTTGGTAAAATGATTGCCCACCCTGTGTTTATTAAAAAAAAATAAAAAAGATAAATAGATACATATAAAATTAATTAAAAAAAAACATAAGAAGCTTTATTTTTATTTTTCTGATTTATTTCATTGCACTCACAAAGGAGGGTTTTTTACGCACACAACAACATCAGATACCATATTGATTGTTGACAAGCCAAACCTTAAAGAGACAGTGTGTCGTTTTTACTGTTCATTTCTGGAAACATCCAACAAAATGTTGTTGAAAATAAATTAAATGAAACCCAGTTGTTGAAAAATAGTGGCGGCTTCGTAAAATATAACCATAAAAATCTAGTCTAAAATATGGGCTGCATGGTGGTGCAGTGGTTAGCACTGTTGCCTCGCAGCACAAAGGTTGCAGGTTCGAAACTCGGCTGCGACCTTTCTGCGTGGAGTTACGTGTTCTCCCCATTCATGCGTGGGTTTCCTCCGGGTACTCCGGTTTCCCCCACAGATCACAACATGCCCTATGGGTTATAAATTGTAAGTCGCTTTGGATAAAAGCGTCTGCTAAATAAATAAACATAAACATAAATATATGGGAGCGGGTCTAAGTCTCTGGGTGACGCCAGATTAGACACCATGTTTCCTTCTACGGGAGCCGGTGAGGCCAAAATGCATTTACTAATTTGTAAGAAATGGTTACAAAACTTTTATCATTCATCAGCGTTGTTTTAAACATTTACCTCTTCACTTGTGGCCAATGCTTGTCATTTTGCTGGGGGTTGCTCCTCCAGGGATTTTTGACCCTTAAGGGCATCTTTATTGGTGAGGTCTTACTCTAGTAAAAAAAAAATAACACTTGCTTGCAATGATTTAGGCATGTGGTGCCCCCTATCACCAGGGAAAATAATAATTATGGAAAATTTCCATAAATACAAATGAGCACAGACCAATGGGCAACGATCACTGTTTCTCCACCTGTTAGACACCGCCTCATCACAATTTAATTGCAATGCAAGTTTTGAAACCTGCACAAACTCTTCACAAATTCACAAAAACAGGCTAAAAAGCAAATATTTAAGTCTTCAGATAGTTTTAAAACTAGATATACAAACATTATTAATGATCTGCTGTATTATGTATTAAATTTGCTTAGCTTAGCTTTAAAAATCAAGAAGTTGTGAGGTATTTGAGCGAGCTGACTCAGGTTATTTCTGTGCATTTTCATGCATCATCTACTTTGAAATGACTACTTGTCCTTTGTTCATTACACTTGACTGTGCTCCACCCTCCCTCATCAGGTGCCACAGAGGAAGACCGACTCTCAGCCCTTGCAGGCGAGCACAGATTCCCCCGCAGCTCTTCTATGACAGACAGCCTCCGAGACCATTCACAACCCCATCCCATACCTCCACATCCACAAACAGCACCTCCTCCTCCTCCCTACTACTTAGACACTGGTCCTCCCCCAGCTTTCTGCCCTCCTCCTCCCCCATCCAGGACTCAGAGTCAGGGCCATGAGCCGGGAGGGCGTTCCAGCTTCAAGCCATCTTCTCTGGACCTGCCGTACGAGGCCGCTCAGCGACAGGCCACACACCTGGAGAGACAGAAGAAAGCTCGTTCCATGATCCTCCTGCAGGACTCCTCCCATCTACCCGTCGAACCGACAGAAATTCCTCGGCCGTCTGCTGCTACTCCACCAGAGCGAATTAAAAGAAAGGGCAGGGTAATTGACAACCCTTACGCAAACGTGGGTCAGTTTAGCATTGGGCTTTACACACCTACAAAGCCTCAAAGAAAGAAAAGTCCCCTGGTGAAACAGCTGCAGGTTGGTTGAGTCGTACCATTTCTAATTCTCTATCATTTAGCCTCTGACCTTGACCATTCCTGTTTCCTCTGCAGGTGGAAGATGCGCAAGAAAAAGCTAGTTTGGCCTTAGCTGCTGCCCACTCGCGAGAGAGCTCACCCTCAGGACGACACCCGCTCACCCACGGGCACACACACACCAGTCGTGCAGACTACTACCAGCAGCAGCTCATGGTTGAGAGAGAGCGCTTGCGTGCCCAAGGAGAGTTGATGTTTCAGGGTAAAGGCCCCTTTGCTGCTGCCATTGCTGGAGCAGTTAAAGATCGTGAACGTCGTCTAGAAGAACGAAGGAAATCCACTGTCTTCCTTTCTGTTGGGACCATGGAGGGGTCATCCACAACAAGCCCAGATTCCCCCTCTCTAACTCAGTCTCACTCTGTTGATGAACGGATGCTAACCCGAGAGCTGGGACAGCTTCCTCCCCCTGCCTTGGCTCTGAGCCCCTTGCCCAGTGGGACCACCTTTATCCATCCACTCACAGGAAAGCCTCTTGACCCAAATTCACCTTTGGCTCTTGCGCTGGCCGCAAGGGAGAGGGCACTTACCTCCCAGAGTCAGTCCCCAACTGGCAGCCCAGAGCCTCGGACTAAAGAGCGATTAGGCCAGGGTATAATGTTCACTAACACTCAGACCAAAGAGTCTCCACTTAGGGATGGGGCAACTCCCTCTCCCCCTTTTTCACCTAAAAGCTCTAAGGCTGCAGGGCATGAAGCCAGATCCTCCCCAGCATCTATTTTAGCTCCTCAACCCACCAAACCACAGTGGACCACATCATCATCACCTATATCATTTCATCAAGAAATGGAAGCTAGGATAGAGGAGAGGAAAGAGGAAAAGAGACCAGAGGATAAAAAAAGCATGTTGATCAGCATTATGGATACATCCCAACAGAAGACCGCAGGACTGATCATGGTCCATGCAACCAGTAATGGCCAAGAGGTTGGTTCAAGTCCAGGACCTGAAATGACCTCTATTCCTGCATCCATAGAGCCTGGCAAACCACCGAGTCCACGGGCAAAATCGCCTATTCCCACTGTGCCCCAGCCGCAGGCCCAGCTCCAGGTTTTGCCTCAAACTCAGCGACCTGCCAGTCCGGCCCAAGACAAGAGTCTGGCTCAGGGAAGCTCAGAGGAGGATGCGGATCAGTACACAGCCACTCTGCCTCCTGCCATGCTGTCCTCTAGTGACGAGGAAACAAGAGAAGAGCTACGAAAGATTGGAGTTGTTCCTCCACCAGATGAGTTTGCAAATGGGTTGCTGGCGCAAAGACGGGGAATACCAGTGTCCCCTGCTAAGCTTATCACTTCACCTGGCACTCCAACAACATCTACGCCCCAAACTCCCTCAACTGCTACAACCCCAACTGTGACCACCACCCAGCCTCAGCCTCCTCAGCCACTACCAACACCACCTCCATCCAGTGCAGCAGCTGTCTCAGGGAAGCCCTCTGAACCTCTGGAGCCCCCACAGTTGGGCGAGTCTGGCTCTGCAGCTGACTCAGGCGTGGAGGAGGCTGACACACGCAGCTCGAGCGAGAGAGAGCGAGATCACCATCTCGAGACCACCAGCACCGTATCCACGGTTTCCAGCATGTCCACGCTGTCCTCGGAAAGCGGCGAGCCTGCTGACACACACACCACGCACACCTCCTATGCTGATGGGCAGACTTTTGTGCTCGATAAGCCACCAGTGCCTCCTAAGCCCCGACTCAAGTCCCAGATAGGAGGTAGTAAAGGCCCCGTCACCTTCAGGGATCCTTTGCTGAAGCAGAGCTCTGACAGTGAGCTGCTGTCGCAGCAACAGGCTGCTGCCCTGGCTGCTGCTGCAGCTGGAGGGGCCGGGCTTCCTGCTGGTGGTTCTGCCTCAGTGACTGGTCTAGCACCCTCCAGGCCACGTTATCTCTTCCAGCGGAGGTCCAAGTTGTGGGGAGACCTAGTGGAGCCTCGAGGACCAGGGATAGGGCTAGGTATTGGGAGTTTGGGCAACCTTGGTGGGCTGGGACTTGGGTTGGGCGCAGATGAGGGTCCGAAACCATCTGTTATGGGGGAGCTCAGTTCACGTCTTCAGCAGCTAAGTAAAGACACAAGGTCACTAGGTGAGGAACCACTGGGAGCATCACTTGACCCAGGAAGGAAGTCGCCTGTGGCAGGTGCCAGGTAAGAGAATGTTCAACACAGATTCACAAACCAATTACAGAAAAGAGTAAAGGTAAACATTTTAGATTTAATTCCCACAATGTACTAATGGATGCTCAGCAAAATAGAATGCAACATCTTAAAGAGCTAGAACATATAATTCTGTATGTTTTTTCCTTTTTGTTTGTCTAAAAGTCTTTTTTCTCTCTAACTCATAATTACCTAGTGGGAAAAATCCTGCTTTATTTTAGTTGTTTAATTTGTAGCGATCAGATGTTTCAAGCATTATTGAGATGAAATTATGTGACAGTTTTATTGTAACAATATCATATCATATGTGTGAAACCGAGTTTCACACACCAATGGCAGGGTCACAGGAACCATCTGAGAGACAGCTGAGTTTTTGTTTGTTCTCTTTGTCTACAAGATACGTGACAGTTAAATGAAATCCTTTATATTTCTGCAGATGTGAGGACACTGAAGAAACAAAACCTTAACGTTATAAAACCTAGGGTAAAGCATTTTTTTACTATGCCTTTCATAATAACCCTATTAACTAAGGACACTAATTAAAACCCTTTTATAAATGTTGTTTCATGTGTTTTCCTTTAAATGTGTTACCTTGTTTGCATAATAGTTGTGTGAATCTGATAATACATGGTTTTATAGATACAGTAGTTTTATAGTTGATAGGTTTGGTCTTAGGATGAAACTGCTTCTTGTTTCTATAGTTACGGACATTTTTTTCCAATAAATCTAGCCGTTAACTGGAGGCAGATGTAGTCAATATGAGCATTGTCCATTGTGTGTGTGTGTGTGTGTGTGTGTGTGCGTGCGTGCGTGCGTGTGTTTGTGTGTGTGCGTGCGCGTGCATGCGCGCGTGTGTGTTGTTGATCAACTTTGCTGCAAACAAGGTAACAGGGCTTGAGGCATGTACTTTGTGAAAGACTTTCCTCGTCTCTTACACACCGACATGTTTGACTTCTAACCCTGCCAGTGTCTTCCCTTTTCTGCCTCTCCCAGCGTCCTTGTTCAAATAACACACAATACATCCTGCTATCTACTGCCTTTCCTGTCATCGCTGATGTGAACTCGATAAGACCTGAAAGCACAGTTTTCTTCTTATCTCCATCCCCCATTTTTAAAGGAAGTGATGACATCAGAGATTTAAAGGATGTATTTTTGAGATGTTTTTGAACAGGACCAAGTATAATGGTGGATTCATTTAAAACCTGAGATCTTCATTATGAATAAAGTAATAGACGAAATTCACTTAAAAAAATCCTCCGTGGCACATGATATACTGTAACTGTCAAATAAAGGGTGGGACCTTATCATTTGAGGATCTGCTTGAGTTGTACAACCACCTTCACCTTTGCTGGTTGGATTATTACGTAGAAGATCTGATAATAGATATCAGTCCTCACATCAGCAACAAAAGAAAATTACGCCACACTATTTAAACGCACATGTTGAATTAATTTATTAAATATTATGGTGAAGTCTGAACAATCAGTTAGTAAAAAGAGATGCTTTTAGATGTGCAGCACATTTGTCAGTTAACATTAGTTTTTTTAAAGGACCTGTGTCATGCTGTTTTACACCTTTCAGAGCAAAGACAAGGGCACACTATATGCTAAAATCATGCCACTGGAACTATTGAGATGTCATTATTTTTTAAATAAGTTATTTTCCTGAGACGTTCCTTCAATCTAGAAATAAGATGCTTGGATTAGATGAAACCCCGCCTCCCCTTGTGTGAATTCCACAATAGTACACAACTGCAGACCCGGATATTCAGTTCATCATGACCCTGTCAGCCAAGTGATTCGTCTGAAAACCGACATCTGTACTGGCTGAGGTTTAACTGGTAGCCTGTGAAATCACTGTCACATTCTGGCTCTGTTTTTGAGAGCTCCTGCAGATAAAATCCAACCTTTCATGCAGATTAAACTCTTCCTCAGGAAGACTGGACAGGGATCCTGGACCTCTTGGAAAAAAATTAATAAAGTGGCTCTCTCGCATTTGTCTAAAAATCTCCGCCAGTAACATGGCTCGGACCGGAAGAAACTATTGAACCATCTGGTTGTCAGTCTTGCCGAGCTGCTGCACTTTCCTGGGTCATTCACTCATAACACAGTCGTGTTCTATTAAAAAATAATAAGGTGGTTCTCTCGCATTTGTCTAAATCCTCTGAAAATACTTTTTCAAACTTTTGTTCTTCCCTGGGTCCTCCACTGATTACACAGTCACGTATTTAGTGACAGAACTCCACTGGTGTGAGAGGTTTGCGGCTCAATAATATCAGAGAAGAAACAGTCGGCTGATAACACGTCAACTTTAGGACAAACTACCAGAGAAATAGAAAACCTCATCTGAAGTCACGGACAACACAAGACGTTTATACCTAGAAAACAGCAACCAGTGTTTAACGCGATCTCGTATCCTCCGTTAATGTGGGTTTCTGGTTCCGGTGGATGTAAAACCAGTGAAGATGCCCGATGGGAGGGGTGAGTGTCCCATGACCGTGTTTTCGTTCAAAACCTAGCTTGTTTGCAGAATGTCAATAGCAACTTTAAAGTGCCAACTATTTTAGAAAGAAATCACTTCTTCACAACTGTGGAGATTAAAGCCAAGGAGAAACTGGGTGTTAGTGTTTACAGTCCAGGGGAGAAGGGATCTGCACTCGAGCCATGAAGATGCAGCAACAACCCCCTCCAAATCTCTGGAGCCTGCTGGGCAAACAACAGAGGATTTGCAGCTGAGACAGGAAATTGCATGCCAAACATCACTTTGGAGGTGTGTTTCATTAGGGAATAACATTGAAATATGTTCAAAAGCTCCACGAAGAGGATTATGCCTGATATAGGGCCTTTAATGTCTTCTCATACAAATTTTATAATTTTTGACATTTCCTTTTAATATAATGTTCTTGTAGATGAGAATAATTTAGTGTCTGTTGACATTCTGTTCGTTGTCCTTATTAACTATCTCTGCCACCTTTGGTGTTGATATTCAACAGTTTGGATCCTGTAGTTTTTGCTGTGGGGCGTCTCCAGATTGAGCTCTGTTCTGGGACATTTCATGAATACCGTGGGTAGATACTATGGATTTCCACGAATCCTCAGCATATTTTGCAGGTTGATGTGGCCCACTGTCATGTTGAAAGGAGGCTGCTGTGGCCATGTTGTGTTTGGCAGGGTGGATCGGGGAGTACTTCAATGCCTCAATGTTTGCTTTTCTAGTCAGTGATTTTATTTTCCCAGCTAATGCAAGATGAGAAAGGCAACATTTTGTCATTAAACATTGACCTCTGCCACAATAGTTGTGAACGGAAAAGGAAACCACAGTTCCAAATGCAACATATCATGCAACAACTAGTTCAAATTTCACCCATTCTCCCACCATTTCCATCCTGGCAGTTAATTGCCTTTGGGTGTGACAAGGGTGATCATTCACACCGTTATTCCTCTCTCCCTCCCTATCGCTCCTTCTCTCTCTCTGCATCATCCGGCATCTGCATTTGATTCTCTCCACTCACTGGAGCATTTCACTCAGTGCATCCCAACATTTACGATGTTTCTCCATCGTGTATCCCATTTTCATCCCTCCAACACCCACAATGCTGTATTTTGTCTTTTTTGTGTCCCACCTGCTGTTTATGATAGCTTTAGCCAGTTTAGATCATTTTTCTTCCCTAAAGAATTTTTTTTATTTTATTTGTTTATGTAAATTGCGTAACTTGATTTGTTTCAGTGTTTACGTTGGGAATGGCCATGGTCCTGACTGTCGTACGTAGTGGACATTATGTGTTTGCTTTTTATTTAAAAAAAAAAAAAACATTAAAGCAGATCTAAATTTCAATTTCTTAAAATAAATCAGTCAGTAAAGTACCACAGCACATACAAAACAGAATTTTTGTTCTCTTTTATATGTGCGAGCAATTGTAAATGTCTAGAGACATGTGCCTTCCCTTCAGTTTGTTTTTCATTTATATGTTTGTTTTACTTTGTGCAGTGTTTGACATGTGAAGGTGTGCTCATTTCTCTCTCATGCAGCCCACTGGTCAGACTCTCCAGTGCTGAGACTTGCTCTGTTGCCTTTGACATGCTAACACATCCACTACTAATAGATATAACGCATCTAAAGAGAATTAAAAGAACATGCAAGCATGAAATGTTCACCTTGGCATACCGGCGTTCATACACGAAGCATGTCGAAGATGTCAGAGCTGGCTGAGGCAAACTTCGAGTCTGGTTGGCAGGTTGCGTCTCATGGAGTGATGCTAACATTCTCTCCCATTGCTCTCTCTCTCTGCTCATCTTGCATGCTCCGCCCTGCTGCTCTGATCTGATTGGTCTAGAACTGACTGTGCGCCCAGGAGGGCAGGACGACTGTGTAAGTGCGCATGGAGCTCATCTCAACCCGTTGGCTCCCTGTAGTCGTATTTTGTTTTCTTCCAGCCTGTGTGTTGCTTACCTTTGTTCCATTACACTCTGTAGTCCAACGTTCACCTGCATCAAAGGCTCCTAGCACATACAGTAGATGGATAACTCTTGCATGAATAGAGCAAACAACGCTACCACAACTTTTTCTCATATTTAGGCTACCTCTGCTTCTGCCTGCTCCCACCAAGACAGACTGAACTCATTTTTTTTTTTATTTTACTCACTAATCCATCCTTTTTAACAATCTCTTTCTTTAGATCTGTAGTAAGCTAATGGTTAATCTGAAATGTGCAATACCTCTTGTTGAGCATCAAATGCCTTCAGCTAGTCAGGAATTTGTGGTTTGTGACACAACAGGTGTTCAATAACATTCTCTCAACAGTTTTGTTATTGCAACAAATAAAGTCAGAGGTGCAACTTCAATCCTTATCAAGCAAGTTTCTGTTAAGGACACATCCTCCTAAAGCTGCAATGGCAAATCTGCAAAACAAGCTATCATCCCTGGACCACACCCCTCTGAAATGGGAACAGGCATTGCCAGAGTAATCGAGAGAGCGCTAAACACCAGTAGCCGTCTTGTTGTCTGTGACTTCAAATGTTGTTGTTTTTTTTTTGGGGGGGGGGGACTCTGGTAGTTTGTCCTAAAGTCAAAGTGGTAGCAGCCGGCTGTTTCTCCTCTGATATTACTGAGCTGGGAACCCCTGCACTGTAGCTAAATGTGCGAGCATGTGACGAATGGAGGACCTAGGTAAATGTGCAGAGAGACAACCAGATGGCCCGATCGTTGACTTCAGACCGAGTCATGTTATTGGCGGAGGTCTTTAGACAAATGCGAGCGAATCACTTCCGTTTTTGTTTTTTTTCCCCCCACAAATTATTTACAGCTTAACTGTCAGAACATTGTTAATAGGCATGAAAGATTATTTATTAAGCTAGCTTGTTTTGCAGATTTGCTGTTGTAGCTTTAAAAACAATTTACCCATTTGATAAATGTGAGTAAAATGATGAGTTACGGTGAGATAAATGTTCAAATGTCATGTTGTTATATCTTTAAATATGAGATGGAAGGAGAAAGTACTGTTGAATTTCTTTTCCACATTTTTAGATGTGTTTTAAATTTATATTTAAATATAAAGTGTTTTAGGGTTAGTGTTACTTATTGGCCACAGTGAAAAGGATCCAGAGAGCTCAGTAGGTAGCCTGCCTTTAACGTTCTTGCTTTGATGTTGTAGTTACATGAAACTAGTTTTTAGTACCTTCAGTTTAAGATGACCCACCATAGATTTGACCTTTAACCTAACGCTTCAACTCTTTACTTTCTAGTTTTTTTTTTATCTCATTGACCATCTTGTTGGTTGACATTTTTTCAAACTCTGTCTCCACCAGACTTTTCAGCAGCCTAGGTGAGCTCCACACTCTTTCTCAGAGAAGCTACGGAACCACATTCACCATTCGCCCTGGCAGCCGTTACCCTGTCACCCGACGCACCCCTAGCCCAGGCTCTCCTGATAGAGGCGACCCCCTCGGACGATTCTCAGGCTTTGGCTTGGCAACCTCACCGACTACTCCACCACAAACCATCCTCAAGTCCTCTAGCCTCAGCTTACCGCAGGAGCCCAAAGAGGTGCGCTTCGTCATGAGGAGCTCCAGCGCCCGGTCTCGCTCTCGCTCTCCATCACCCTCTCATTCCCCAGGATTAGGCTCACCACTTTTAGCCCTTCGACCCTTCCATCAAAAGCCCCTCCACCTTTGGAACAAGTACGACGTTGGAGACTGGCTCGAGAGCATCAATCTGGGGGAGCACAGAGCCGGCTTTCAGGAACATGAAATTGAAGGCTCTCACCTCCCGGCTCTAACCAAGGATGACTTTGCAGAGCTGGGAGTGACACGAGTTGGACACCGCATGAACATTGAACGAGCACTTAAGCAGCTGCTGGAGAGCTGACCCCTGCCCTGAGACAGAGCAACAGATGGAGACAGATGAAGATAGAATGAGTGGGATGGAGAGTTGTTAAAAACATGAGAAAAACAATACAGACTGCTCCTCTTTTACTCCAGCTGCTTTTATGTTCAGTACTGCAGTCTGTAGTGATACTTTACGTTTCTGTTTCGCATCAACAACCTGCATCTGGCACTGCACTGAAGAAGAGGAGGCAATACACATTCATCCCCTTTGTTCTGCCCTCGCTGTCTGACCTTCCACCCTGCTGGACCCAGTCAGATCAGACCTCAAGCTATCTGGTCGCTCGTTGCTAAGGAGAATCACACGAGCTCCGATTTGATTTGTGAAATGTTAAGTAAATCTTCACTTTCTCACTACACCCTCTCTACCTCTGCCCCCCCCCCCCCCCCCCCCGGTCGTGTTTTAGGCATCTGAAACCCTTTTGCAGTTTGAGTAAAGGAGGAGGAAGAGGAAGAACAATTCTCGTTCCAAACAGAAACTTAAGTTGCCTTTCAACAAATATTTATACTGAAATCAACCATGATGAACACCGCGCTGTGGAAATAGTGCTCACACAGCTCTGAAAAGGTGTGTCTTCTGTATACCTGCTACTGTTTTTAAACCGAAGACTTTTAGAGCCCAGAGGTGAAGCTCCACAAAGTAAACCACAGGAGAAAACCCCTCTGCCTCGGTAACCAGACTGTGCAATCTATAATATTTGGAGAATGTTTAACCAACACTCGTGGCTTTTTTTATATTTTTTGGTTTTCCAAAGGGAATATTATATAAAAAATATATAAATATATTACTATGATATAATATAGTATATATGTATTGAATTATAGCTTTCAAAAGAAAAGACAATGTTGCAAAGAAGACATTTAATAAATGAATCTACGCCTGTTTTTGGTTTTTAAAATAGAAGACCGGAAGAAATCCACCAATAGTTTACTCATTTCTACCAGTTATACATATAAATATATATATATATATTTGAAAGACAAAAATATATAGATATGGAAGTTTTATTTCTTCTTGTTACCTGTATACAGCGTTCCTTACGGTCACTCTTTCTTGAACGTAGCATGACGAGTCGCTTCATGTTCTGGACAGTTTGTTTGTTTTGATTTTGTTATGGTCTTCCGTCATACTAAAGGGCATCCCGCAATGTGAGTCTAAAACCTTAGCTGATATCTATTCCCACTGCTGGAGCAACTCATCTTATTGATTGTAACAATATATTGTGGTGGTGATGGAGTGTGGGGGGTACACCTAATGAATAAGAAGAATAGAAAGACGAATTATTAAATTAGACCTCCTTCACACTGGATTATTTTGCTCTTTTCGACCAATTTAGCCTATCAGAATGTGGCTGTGTTGTGGCAAAGTCAAAAATATTCCACCAGTGAGAAAAAAACCTTGGCACTGCTATGTTCCTAGGTTTTATCCTTTTTTTTTATTTTCACGTCATTCCACGTACCTAGCTGAAGGTCCTAGCCTTCAGCTGCCGCTCATCTTACATCACACCTGAGCACTTTGGTCCCTCCTACTTTAGGTGAGTCCCTGGGAAGGGGCCCAGCCGGGCTCCATGGGTGAAAGCCCGGACACCAGGTGCTCGCCAATCCGCCCCACCCCCAGGACTGGCTTCGGGGGAGCCCTGGTGACCCCACGTCCTGGTGAGGGAACACTGGGTGTTTCTCAATGCCAAGGAACCTCGCCTTGATGTCTTGGCCCCGCCCCGGTTGCCTAGGAGATACGTCATCAGGAGCCGCCAAGACGTGTTCCAGTGTTCATGTTCTACTGAGGCGTGTGTTCTCCGTTTGTTAGCCGTTTAGCTAGCTGATCAAGGATACATGGGAGTTGTCTTGTAGCCTAGCCTTGTTCAAAAATTACCCAGAATACACTGCAGTATTTTCAAAAGGATGGTAGATCAGAAGCCAGCAGCTACTTTGGGGGCAAATTTCAAGTTTAAAAGTAAGTCAACAAATTTAAAATGTTTTTTTTAGATCCAAATGAGTTATCTGTGGTTGGTTAGTTGCTTATTAGTTGTGGCTCCGGTGGCTAGTGGGTAGTAACACACTTACATATTTAATTTAACAAATATGTACATGATTTAAAAAGTAAAAGGCTCATTATATATTTATATTGAGACTAATACGTGTAAAACATAACGTTATCTCCCGTGTCAGGTGACGTTACGTGACCACCGTGGAAGCCATGGCCACGTGATGCAAGTCTGTTCCATTTAACCGTTTTCTTTGACCAAGGAAGGACAGTGTCCTTGTAAGTAAGGCGCCTGGCCTCACAAGACATCGCCTCGCAAGGCCAGGTGACTTGAGATTGTGAAACACTCACTGTTTCTACTTACATTGTTCATCATAAAGGGCCTTTGGGCTGCATTTAGCCTAATCCATACATGACCCTACCAGAAGCATAAAGCCCAAGACAGGTTAGCTCCCAGGTCATTGGGACACTCAAACCCCTCCACCACAGTAAGGTGGCATTCCAGGGAAAGTGTCTCAAATGGAGGTGTACAAGAAGCTCAGGGTCTCGTTCACAAATGAGGGAGCGATGGGGCAGGAGCTCGATAGGTGGATTTGTGCTGCGTCTACAGTGGCACAGGCGTTGTACCGGTCTGTCATGATGAAGACAGAGCTGAACATTCTAACCCTAATTTATGGTGACAAGCTTTGGATAATGACCAAAAGATTAAGTAATCAGACAAAATTAGTTTTCACCGCAGAGTGTCTGGGCTCACCTTTAGACATAAGGTAAGAAGCTTGGTCATCCAGGAGGGGCTCAAAGTAGATCTGCTACTCCTTCACATCAAGAAAAGCCAGCTGGCATCTGGCTAGGATACCTCCTGTATGCCTCCCTGGTGAGGTTTTCTGGGCTCGTCAAACTGGGAGAAGACTTAAAGGGAGACCCAGGACACGGTGGATAGACTGTCTCTCGGCTGGCCAGGGACTACCTTGGGATTCCCCTGGAGGAGCTTGCCCAAGTGGCTGAGGAGAAGGAAATCTGGTCCTCCCTGCTTAGGCTGCTCCTGCCGTCGAACCCCGGATAAGCGGAAGAGAATCAATGGATGGACATTTTCATGATGACTTTACAATGTAAATCATAATTGCACCACACATTAGGCTCCATCTCGGCATAACCCTCTCTCACTACATCAGGTTGCAGCTATGCACTGGAACAACACGCCACCCAGGCATGATGTTTCAAAATCACAATGATTAATGCCCGGGTCACGTGACGAAATTTTTAAATTGATGGCCATTTTTTTAAGCATTAGAAATCCTGCATGGTAGTAAAACATTCACCTATGTATCAGTTTTCTTCTTACAGTGTGTGGTGTGCAGCAACTGGCCAAATAATACACATGTACCACTTTCACTCAGAATATTCCCTGCTCAGATGGGAAATCTTGCAAAAGAAAACATGACTTTGAAGGGAAAAAACGGTAGAGGAAGAGCGTGCTGCACAGATCCATCACCTTAGTTTCTGATTGGCTTGATGTCACATTCAACAGACGGCACAATTTGTTCCTCCCCGAAAATCAGACCAAGACAATCCAACATGTTTGAAAGCTCGGATTTATGATCAAAGCAGTCCCACCGTCCTAATGAGCAGACTGCTCATAAGGAATCACAAAAGATAGGACTGTTTGAAAAGGTTTAGCTTTTAGAGCTCTTACAGTAATCGTGTGCAACCTTAAAAATTTTGGAAGGGGTGTGGCTAGTATAAAGTCAGCACATGAACTGGGCTTAAGTTGGTGCATACAGACCCCGTGTTGTGCATGTATCTCAATCATGTTCCCTTTTAGCCTGGCAAGCCAGACTAAATAAATGTATAATTTAGTCTGGCCACGCTCCATTGACGGCTCTTGGTTGTGGGGCGGATTCTACCATTGTCTTTCAAATGATCTCCGCATTCCACTGGACAATGAATGTGACATACTCTTGTTTCACTCTGTTGCTTCATCCCACCCACCAGGCATATAGAGTGCCCTGATTGGCCCACAAAGCGGATAAAGCTCTGTGATTTGTTCACTAAGCAGATAGAGCACTATGATTGGCCCACCATTATGGACCAATCACAGCTGTTTATGTGTTTGAAACCCCTCTAGAGAGCTGTGATTGGCTAGCCAGAGTCCTGGTAGGAGCTGCAGAGGTTCCAATGGAGCATTCCTAGACCAAACTTTGCAAAGCAAGAATTTGGTCTAGTTCACTAGGCTAGTTCCCTTTATCATCAGAAGTGCAAATAAAGAATAAATAAAACTTCCTTAGAAAATTAAATAGGATTTACCTGACCCCAAAAAGAAGCAAACAAATGTATTAAAGTATCATAATAAGACAGATTTATAACATTTGTATGTATTGAATGATTTTGTTGTTTTCCTAGAGCACCTAGAGCAGGGGTGTTCAATTAAAGTTGCTACAAAAAATATCTTTAAAAATATCTACATGCAACTCTAAACTAAAAAGGGCTGACGGAATGAGCATAGCTGAATGTTTGGGTTTATTAAACAAGGACAGCACAAAAGACAATGTTACATATAACGACAATGTAACCATTGCTTTGTACAGAGATTTTCTTGCCAGAGGCAAATTTTCAAATCTAGTGTAGTGTACCTAGTGTAGAGCCCAGACAAAGTAAAACAGATATTATCTTGCATGGATAAATAGAACAAATTTCTCACCAAAATGTAATGGTAAAAACATTGTACTGACAAAGACAAACATAATTCCCAAAAGTGTTAAATAGTGTTTTTGCATTTCCAACATTGATGTGTGCATGGTTATGAAGTACCAATAAGTTACCAGATTAGTATCTTGTTTAATTTGCTGTTACCATGCTCAACCCGGGAGTTTGATACACCACTAAACTACCAAGACGTTTTATTCAGCCCCTGATGGTTTTGCCTAGCCTGGCAAGCCATCCTATATATGTGAATATATAGTCTGGCCACGACCCATAGACAGCGCACAGTTGTGGGGCAGAATCTATGGTTGACTTCCAAAATGTCTCCGCAATGAACAACGGGGCATACTCAACGCTATGGATGTCAGTCAACAGGGCAGTCTGCCACACATCATTGAAGATTATGCAAATACATCCTTTTTTCTAAATAAATATGGCGGGGGAATGTTTCTGAATTTCAGGAAAGAATCGCCCTTTACACATTTTGAAATAATGAATGAGAGAGAACGCCCAGATGTCCTCATCCACGTGCTGTTTACAAGTAGCTGCCGGGCTTGCAGCACTTCCTCTAGAAAAAATCTGAAATGAATCTCTCCAAATAGCATGCCGAACTTTAGCCTACCTGTCGTGCAGAACATTGGTAACAGAGGTGTCTGTAGAGAGCCCAACCTTTGCTTTTAGCACATGCCATCGTTGAAAAGAGCCTTAAAAAAACCTCTAGTCTTATTTCTCAAACATTTTCAAAAGAACCCAGTGAGAACGGCGAGGAATGAAGGCGTATCACTCTACACATAAACAAATGCACAGGAAGTGAAAACTAACCCAGGAACGAGCACATGATGACGGCCTTGTGTGAAAGCTTCACCGGAATGATTCACAGTTATGCAGACCAAAGGTTCAGATGATCCACCCAGAAGAAAAAGATCCTCCGCTATACCTTTAGGTACCTGTGTCTGCTCTTTACTAAAAGAAAAGTCCAAGTCTATATGGTCCATAGTTCGTATGGCCCAACAAACCGATCAAATGGGATCGGCAAGGCACAAGATTGTCCAGGCCTGCTGGGGTTCCAATGGCGCGTGGCTAGACCGACCTGCAATGCAAAATGGTTAGGCTGGGTCTCACCAAGTCCTTACAAAGATAACTTACTTTCTAACAGACATTTTCCATCATCGCAGTGTTTTTCCAGTGTGAATGGGGCCTAGGGGAACCATCAAATAATATTTTGTAAAACGTTCTAAATCTGAAGCCTGATGTGTTTTTTTCTGACCAGTGCGTAAACAGTCGGATAACAAAACTCTATCAAAGAGTCTGAAATGTTTACTGTGAAACAAGCAAGTAGTCCCTCGAGCAGTGGGCATGGAAAAGCTTACTTAAGGTCTTAAAGAAAATTCAGTATTTTACAACTTAACAGTGCAGCTGCTTCCCTTTAGCTCCAACGTTGTCTTACTGATGTACTAACCGTAACAGCGGACGCTAGAACTCTTGCAGGAGATCCAGGTTGTAAAACAAAACAAAACAGAATTTTCCTTCAACAATACAGATCTATAATTGTACTCATGAGCAGCTTCTGCTGGCAGTGAGAACCAGTGAGTTTTATTCGTGCTACGAAAAGCACTTTGGCATGGCTGTTCCTTGACAGGATGCCAAGACATGTATAATACCACTAAAAACCTCTGCTCATTGGCAGCGTTCAGCAAAGGCACTTCACTTGGCAAAAACTTGTGTGCACATTTCCTTATATTTCCTTTTTGTAAAATGTTCTGTAAAGCAGGCAGAATATAAAACCATTATATACTGCGTTGTAGGAATAGCACTCACTGCCTCACTGTGACCTCACTTTTCTTTTTCATTTCCCCGGATTTATGTGAAATTTTTGGCTGTATTTCATTTCCGTTGTTGACGTTTTGTTACCTTTAGCCACTGTGGGTAGATTTTGTAGCGTGTGAAACATGATACTTCAATCTTGTACTCATTTGAATCTTAAAGTGATGAGAGGAGCAAAAAAAAAGAGAGAGAGAGAATAATATCTTGTTCATTTTAAATATACTACCCTTGTAAAAAAAAGAACTACAAATATTTGCTTTTTTAATCACAAGCAATGTAAATATAATAGATTTCATATAAATTTTTTGAAACCTAAAAGTATATAGATCTAAATATATGAATGTTTGGCATATATGCATAGTTAACCACCTGTGGAAAAGGTGAGAAGATTTTATTCTTTCTATGAACTCTTGAACTTTTGAACTCTGAACTATGAACTAGGGGATGATTTGCACAAAACAAGGTGACAAGGTGCTAACATAAAAGCCACCCATCATCCAAGTGCATGCGTGCATCTGGATTCCCTGAATCTCTCTGTGTGGTTGTTCCTCTTCACTGCGTGTGTGTGTTTGTGTGTGTGTGTGTGTGGTATGAATGTGTGTGTGAGAAATTTAGCTTTCGTTTAGGTGCATTTGTTTGAGAGCGAGACAGTGAGAATGCATGCAAGAGTGCAATTAATCGTTGGGGTTTACATTTTTGGAGTTAGTCCACTATAGCCTTACTGTACCATCAGAGATTGCCGGCAGTGGCTGTGTCACACAACTTCTCACACACACACACACATAGAAACACAAAAAAACATCAAAATACACACACGCATTCACTTCTCAAGACTTATCGTGTATTCTTCTTACGTCTTGAGGAAAGTGGACTGTTCTGTTCTGCTTAAGATGAACAGACAGAGAGAGGGAGAAACGAGCAAATGGTTTTCACGACAACACACTTACTCACCTTGAAGCTGCGCGGGTGCAGCTTTTGCAGCGTCACTGTTCTGTGCAGCCATTCCTGAATGGCGTTGGCGCTCCCCATACCCTCCACTCTGTCTGGCAGCACTCCTCTTTCCTTTTTCAGACCTTCGGTTTTTGAGTTTTTTGGGGGGGATTTGAGACGATCCAGTGAGGAACAAACTACACAAAGAAAAAAAATATGTGCCAAAAAGCAACTTAACTTTTAACTGTATATTTGTCTTTGCTTTAGGACTATCTTAGTCACAGCACTCTTAAGCTGTTAGATAATATGACATTATGGTGCCATCTCCTGGAAATCTTGAGAACAACAAACGTTTATAAGATCCATCTGCATCTTCCTGCAGGCGGAGACACAGTCATTGTTGTTACTTTGTAAAGAAACGGGCTGTATGTTGGTCTCCTTAAGCATACCTACAGCCTGTGTATATCTGTTTGCTTTAATTTTGTCTTAAATATTTAGGACGATTGCCTGATTTGAACAATATGGGGTTTTATTCCTGGATAGACACAAATAACAGTTGCAAGGCGAGCATGCCGGGTCTGATCTCGGACACGAGCGCTGGAGTGACTTACTGGTTGAGTTGTTGGAAATTCGAAGTGAGCAAACATACACATCATTAGGTCAAATCAGTTGTAAGGGTTATCTTTTTAACGTTTCTTAATCTACAAAGCACAATCTACACCGTGTAGAAAAAGCAGTGTGACTTTTATTTTTTAATAAATCCACTGGTATTGGTTGATCTTTACTGGAACCAGTGATCTTATTTATTTATTTTTTTTCATTGTTGATTTTCTCCTTGTTTGCACTGTGAAGTTTAGAACGGTGGACGTATCACTGCAACGTCTCGGCCTTGTCTCGCACTGCAACTTCCCCTTCTCAGTGTTAAATGACAGATCATCCAAAACACAGACACATAATAAATAAATAATACAATTTAACCAGAAGCTACCTGGTGTTCCACAAGCAAACAGAAGAAGGGTGACAGTACAACACTGAGGCAAGATCTGAGATGTTGCCCTGGATATTTCCACCACAGAGATATATGTTTGATATAATATGTAATAAATTTATAATTAAAACACATGTTGTGTTTTCTTCCTTCTACATCGCTCTTCTAAAAACAAATTTGGAAATCTTAACAGTCGCAATAGTTGGTGAAAGCTGGGTGATGAAACGTCCCAGCTATAGTCAAAAGTAACCTGCAGCAAGGCAGCTCAGTCTTTAAATGCACCCTGAGATTTGATGTGACAGTAGGATGCAAGTGTGATGGCTAAGTTGAAGCTTAGAAAATAAAATCTTTCCCAGAAAACTCCTTGTTGAAACAGCAGATGACTTTGCTAAATGTATCTGCAGATCTTCAGGATCATTTGGATAATAAATGGGTGCACTTACTTGAGAAAATATTTCAAGTTTTAAAATAAATTTTAAATGTGTACATTGACATAAATATAGATATTATTGTTATTTGGTGGTTTAACATGCAGTGATTTGACCAGAATGGGTTTCAATTTGGAAGAAAAAAGGGACACAATGGAAAAAACACTGGGTCATCGGGATTTTAAATTGGGCTAAAAGCAGTAACATGATGCTTGGTGGTGCCGTTGCTTCTCAGCAAGAAGGTTGCTGGTTCAAATCCCAGCTTTGGTTTGCATATTTTCTTGCATGCATGGGAAGTGCTGATTTCCTCCCACAGACCAAAACTGTGCACGTTAGGTAACATGCAAGTGGCTTCAAGCTATCGCTAACTGAAGAAACAATGAACATCCAAGTGGAGAGATTTGAGTAGCAGAAATTCTTAATATCTACAAAAATTCTTAAATTATACTAAATATTAGTACAGCTGCCAATGAAATTCATTTTAAATATTCCATAAATATTGGAAATATAGAGGCTTTCCACTGGAAGAATGGAAAATAATTTGAGAAACATTTACTTCAATGAGTGAAAGAGGCAATTTGTTTGTTCCCCAAGCAGATGCCAGCTGCATAGATACTAACCTTTGATTTGAGGCATGTGCTTTTTTTATCCATCCATCTTCATCCGTTTATCCGGAGTCGGGTCACGGGGGCTGTAGCCTAAGGCGAGAGGCCCAGACTTCCCTCTCCCCAGCCACTTGGGCCAGCTCCTCCAGGGAAATCCCAAGGTGTTCCCTGGCCAGGTGAGAGACAGTCTCTCCACCGTGTCCTGGGTCTCCCTTTAGGCCTCCTCCCAGTTGGACGTGCATGGAAACCCTCACCAGGGAGGCGTCCTGACCAGACCTTAAATGTACAATTTAATTTAAAATCTTAAATGCCGTGCCTGTCAAGTCATATTTAATCGCCTTAAAGTATTTTAATTCACATGTTCGTAAGTGGTTTCCTGCGGACCACTGATTTTCAGAAGCTGGATCACAGCAAGAAAATGAAAACATTTATGGTAACAATTCGTTTTCATGGTACATGAAGCTTTTATTTACAAGGCGCTAAAAATAACTGGATTTACATCATAAAATAAATGCAAGTAAAGCAGCAAAAAAATGCAGCCGCCTGCTGGGGCGGCACACATCGCTACACACAAACACCGAGAACAGCAGGAAATACAGTTTATAATTGCACATTCTCTTTGCTGTGTCAGTTTCTGGTGCTTCACATTACTATTACATAAAGAGTTATTTCTCCACACTTGAGCAGACATTTTACTTTTGCAATAAAGAATAAGTCAAAGTATAAATGGCCGGGCTAAACACAGAGTGAACCTGATAAACAAGATAAAAGCTAATGTGTATTCCATTAAGATAACTGAACTTTTATTCTGATCAGGAACACCTAACACAGACAAAACGCCCTTTAAACGAACTCTGGACTCTCTGTCTTCAGCCCATCCTCATCTGCTTCAGAGTTCTCCTCTTTCTTCTCCAGGTCAAAGTTCTGTGAAAAGACAAAGACTGGTTTACTAAAGGTGTAGTTCAATAGCCTAATTAGTACATTTGCTGTGGTCTATAGTAGCTGAGTTCAAGCTGAGTTTCAGACGGCAGGATTTGGGGTCTTATTTCCTGATATTTGGACATCTCACCTCTGATTGGCTAACAGCCACACACCTCTACCACTGTCTTGCAATGTTGATGTTTTATCTCCACAAATAACACAAGCCTGGAGGAGCTTCTGCCACGTGGTGAAGTTACTAATGCCAATAGTTAGCTTCTACTAGCCGGGATGTTGTCGGCTGTTTCCTGGACGCTAAAACCAACAACAGCCTTCCCCGTCACGATTCAAGTTGGGCGAGTCCATGAATGTTAAGTGACAGTGTGATGTAGATCTGTCAGACTTTTTAAATCCATCTATTTTCTATCAGATGTTAATGCAGGAGATAGGTGTAGGAGACTATTTTCATGTCAAGCCTGCATGAAAAACTCGGAGTGAGCATTTATAATCAGAAATAATTAAAAATGTTTTTTCTGTGTTCCACAACTTTAAATAATTTTTCCAAATAACTAAAGAAGAAGAGCTGTAGTTTACTTAAAAAAATAATGCAGATTTTGGGAGAGAAATTGACAACTTTCTACTTAAATAAATGCCAAAACAGGCCAAACACATGCATTGTTACATTCTCAGTTCTCATAAACACCAGTGGGATGTACCTCTAATTCTTGCAACACTTCATCTATGAAGTCCCTGGGGTTTTGCTTGTAGTCCAAGGCTTTCTTTATCATGTCTCTGAACATCTGATGTGACAGTTACAGTCAGAAAGGACATAATGCAGAGTGGTACAAACATTTAATAGGCCTGATTACATCATCACACTGGTAAGTTCAATACTGAGACTAAAAGCAAACGCACACATACAACAGAAGCCTAAAAGGTATTTCTGATATTAATGTAAATAAAAAAGCAAACCTTAACTACATTGGTCCCATCAGCTGCTGAGACATAGTACAAAGGAAGTCCATGCTTCTTCCCAAAGTTAAAGCTTCTCTGTGCCATTTTCAAGTCAGCTGCAGGTGTAAAACATGTAAATAAATGTTCACGTGTGCAATTCCAAGAAGGAAAATAGGGATGTGTTCTGCCATACTCACCATCGATTTTGTTGGCAACCACACAACAGGGTATCTCTGGTCTGTACTCCCTCAGTTCCTTGTACCAGTTGTATAAATTCTTATATGTGATCTTCCGTTGAACATCAAACACCTAGAAACAGATATCATTATAATATACAATATACAATACCGATTCTGCTGACAGCATCATAATTTTACACCTTTTTTTGGGTAATACTGCTTTCACTCATGATGTGTCTTACCATGATGCATGCATGAGCCTTGTGGTAATATGAAGGATGCATGCTCTGAAACCTCTCCTGACCTGCAGTGTCCCAGAAATCTGTGGATCAAAAACAGAAGTGGTGCGATGTAAGAACTTCACATTTGTTTCTTGTGTTCAGAAAGAATTTGAAAGTAAGAAAAACACAATAAACATACCAACTACTACATTCTTGTTTCCTATGGTTGTTTGGTGGTGGTAAAGCGTCAAGGCATATGTTGACATCTGCTGGGGACGACTACAGGAAGGGTTAAAGATCCTAAACTAAAAAAAATGACCAGAACAGATGTTTTTTCATCTCAACAGTTAAAGCTTTTGAAGGATACTATTCATCCATTAGAAATCTCTCCATCAGCCTGTGAGAAAAGAAGAAAAAGCATGCATCACTCCAGTGGATGTTAACTCAGATGGTCATTTTAAGCTAATACTCACTTAGATTTACCCACTGCGCTGTCTCCTAGACAGATAATCTTGACTACTTCACCAACATCGTGTTTCTTCTGGACCAGATCTGGGATGCTGCCAACATCGTTAGCCATCTCCCAGCGCGCCTTGTTATTTCTTGAGTAAACTAACACTTGAGAGGAATCAAATGAAGCTCCAAATGACGACAGCGGTAGCTAGCTCCTCCGGTTAGCTGGTATTAGAATGGTGTCCATCGGCTTTTAGTATTAAAGCTTAACTAAAAGCTTTGTCAGTCTCAGTTTAACAAATGTGGTCATAACCGAAGCCAACAAATGTCCGGCGGGCGTCATTTGTTACATGCTAACGTCTGCTATAAGCTAATCGCAGTTACGCAGCCGTTTATGGTGCTATTGGGTGATTATAGATTATATAGAGTGATTGGTGGCGAAGCCGATACGAAATAGCGCTACCTTTAGCAATAAGCAGAAATAAACGACGATAACACACGCAACTGAGCAGCTAATACAGTTAGCACTGACCTGACTAGTTAACATAAACTAATGTGGCTAAATAAAAAAATATTCTGCGCCAGCTACATCAAAAGAATAGTTTAACTTGCGTAGGAACAGTAATTTTTGCTGCACGACGTCCCAGACGATTCGTTTCTACGCAACAGGGACGCTAACAGGACCCCTGTTTGGTATCCTGTTGTCTTTACAAGTGCCTGTCTGTAAATCGACAACTTTGTTTCTGGTAATGTTGAATTAAAAAAAACTTTGTTTGAATTGATTCCCTTTACAAATTTCTAGCCGTTTTGGAGATTATCTAAACAAAATAAAATATATCTTTACCACTGATGTTTTTCTTTAACTAGTTAATATACTTCGGTACAGGGTCTTGTTGATAAAATATGCAAAACAAAGGCTAATACGTTGACGTTATTCTGTTCCTTCTGAACGGCTTAATAAAAATGTATTAAAATGTGTTAACATTTTCATCTTAAACTAAAAAATAAAAAGCCGGTCTGAATTGTAACAGAAAAAACATAGATCTTCTGGTCAATTAATCTGTTTATTTGTTTTTCTCTTAACCTGTTCTAGTCTTTGATAAAGCAGAAATTTCAGAAGCCTTTATTGGAAAATAGCACACCCTGTTTTCTGTTTCCCCCCTTAAACTTCACTCTGCATTCTTATTGAAAAATCAATCTACTCTTATCAGATTTAGTTTCTACAGCTTTCATTACTGCTCAGTTTGGGACCATCTTGAAGTGTTTGTGTTTTCTATACAAACACAATTTGTGTGAACAGGAAATACAGCAACTTAACAGAACATGCAAACAGTATCATAGTTAGAAAGCTTTACCTTAATCGAGTTTCTTTGAAGATCTATAAAAGAGGGTGGCTTTTTAATGCCAGACATTCCCATTCCCTGTGGACGGCAATTGATTGGGTCCAATTTCATTTTACTACAGAATAAAAGCATGGATTCAACGCACGCATGTGTCTGCAATGCATTATGTAAAGAATTATTTGTCAAAGAGCCAAATCAAATCAAATCAAAACATTCAAAATGAACATTATATTTTTAATTTCTCACGCTGACAGTGTCTGCATGTTCTGTTCATTTATGCATATGTTAATGTGGTGTTCCCTGAAAAACAAAAAACATTCCAAATTACAACAAACATCTAAGCACTGATGAAAATTGATGGAAATTTGCATACCACATTATACATGAGGGTTACAAAAATAGCAAGTAAGGTCACTGATGGTCAATGAAGTCAAAAACAGCCTCAAAAACCATATTTTTATTGAGATCACACCTTCTATTTCAACATGTAAAAAAAAGTACTATTTGGACAAGTTTTATTTAGTCCTCTTTATTGACACAGCTGCATGCTATTGTTCATTGTTTGGTACAATCAGGGGTGCGGTATATTCTGAATGCCGAACTCCAAAGGTGAAGCTTGGAGCTTTTGTTCTTGTGCAGGTAACCTGGGACGATAATAATAAATGCTAATAACAAAAAAAGATTAAAATTTCTTTCTTAAGTCCTTTCTGGTAATGTTGGATGTTTCCTACCAGTTCAGGATAGTGTGCTCCTGGACCTGGTCTGTCCGTGGCATCATTAGGAACAAACGTGCGACCTTTTATGCTGTACTGTGGCGGTTTCTGCTTGAAAATACAGGAGTCCACAACTTTGTATGCAGCTGGGCCTGGGGTCTGAGGGAGAGCCACCACACAGCAAACACAGGTAAAACACAATTTCTAGTCCTTTTAAATCAGTTTGATCATCAATACCTGCTTTAGTTCTTCATGTAAGCTTGCAGTTTTCCTGCGGCCACAAATTGAGTAGGTGGGAGCAGAAGTTCCAGTCACAGTTTTGGAGCCCACCATAGGAGGTAGAGTATAAGTGTCTGGACCTGCAGGGCAAGCAACAGTTAAAGTATAAAAATACACTTTGATGAAGCCCTGGTACCCCATTTCCAAGAACTAGAAGTGAGCCACATCAGAGTTGAGCTTCAGATGGCAGGTTTGGAGCCTTACTTCCTTATATTTAGACATCTCGCCTCTGATTGGATAACAGCCACAGACTCTACCACTGACTCTGTTTGCGTTGTGAGGTCTTATCTCAACAAATAACACAAGCCTGGAGGAGTTCTGCTGTGCGGTAGAGTTACTAATGCTAATGTTAGCTTTTACAAGCTGAGACATCCTCTGCTGTTTCCTGAACGCTAAAACAACAACAGCCAGGGCTGCAAACTAGGACGCAGTTACCATCTGACGCTCGTCACACGCTCTCATGCCACATCTCCAATATCTCACGTTGAACCCCCACCCACACACACACACACACACACACACACACACACACACACACACACACACACACACACACACCACCTGCTCTACAGAGGTTAAACAGTCACACATGGAAAAGTTCAAAAGTTGGCAGCCCTGAATAGCCTGTTCTGTCTCAAGTCCTGATGGGTGAGTTCATGAATGTTAGTGACAGTGTGACGTAGATCTGTCTGGCTTTTTTAATCCTAGAGCTTCACCGTCTATTTTCTACCAGAAGCTAATGCAGGAGATCGGTATAGGAGACTTATTTCATTTCAGCATGCATGAAAAACTCTGAGTGATCGATTATAATCAGAAACAAGAAACACTTTTTGAGTGAACCACACCTGCAACTAAATCTGTTAGGTTTAGAGTTACCTGGTGTGTGGCTAGTCACCACGTCTCTTCTCCTTGAGTGCAGAGAATAGGCAGGTGCTGAGCGAAAAGTCATCTTTTCTGATTTCTCTGGGCAATACTCGCCTGAAACACCAAAGAAAGTTACACTGAGATCCTGCTTGGAGGCAAACTGCTTCTAAATCACATCAGCCATGTTCAGTTTAAAATCTGCAGCTCTTGGTTCCACTGACCCGGTCCAGGGACTTCTGACCATTTTGGCTGCTTTTTGCGCCATTGGATTGAAAATGCAGGCTTGTCATTTCGACCGTTCGTGGTGATGTTGGAGGGGATGTACAAATATCCTGGACCTGGGGAGCAGTCCGTCTTTATTTCCTGATGACGTCCACCAAAGGAGAACATTGGTGCTTTCGGTTTAGTGGGGTCATGTTGAAATGAACCTTTACCGAGCAGAAGCATGCTATGTCACTTCAATTACCAAATGAATATCATTTAAAGAGACAATGTGTAGTTTTTACCATCAATTTCTGGAAATATCCATCAAAATGTTGTTGAAAATGGATGAAATGATATCGAGTTGTTGAAAAATATTGGCAGCTTTATAACATGTAACCATAAAAATCAGGTCTAAAATACATGGGAGCGGGTCAAGTCTCTGGGCGACGCCATATAAGACGCCATGTTTCCTTCTACGGGAGCCCATGAGGACAAAGTGCATTTACTGCTTTGTAACAAACGGTTACAAAACTTTCTACCTCTTCGCTTGTTGCCACTGACGAAATGGAGTCTGATGTGCTTGTTATTTTGCTGAAGATTGCAATCCCCAGGGCTTTTTGACCCTAATGGGAATCCGTTGGTAAAGTCTTACTCCAACACAAAAATACTGCTTGTTTGCTTACGATTTAGGTATCTACTGCCCCCTATCGCCAGGACAAATACACAGTGTCACTATAAAATAGAATGTATTTTCCTTTTACCCGTGAGTCCAGAGAGTGCATATTTAGGTCCAGGGCTGCCATAGAGGGCTGCTATTGGCCCTCTTGGCTTGTGGGGCCTCCAAGTTCCAACCCAAGGGTCTTTCCTTGACATTGCCTTGAAAAGATGGTTAAAAACCAGGTAAATAGATACATTTGACATCAAAATATAAGGATGTCATTTGCAACAACAGATAACTCCTTATAGACCCTTTTACTACCTACGTCATCAAAAGTTGCGCGTGCAGCATGGCAACGAGAGTGAAGGCTTCCTCATTCACACTCGATACTAAAACAGCGTTTTAAACCCTTTGTTTTGAAGTTCTGAGCACATAAAAATGTCGGGTTGTTGCGTGTATGGATGCCAGAATCACTTCTTTTCAAGCAGTGGACTGAAACTTTACAGAATTCCGAAGGGAGCACATCCATTTCAACAAAATCGGAGGAGTCTGTGGCTGCAGGCCATCAAAAGGGTTGATGAAAACTGGACTGAAAACACGATCCGAAATGCTCGAGTTTGTAGCGCCCATTTTATATCAGGTAAGGTAATTGTGTACTAAGATTACACCAGAAAGCTGGTTAACATGTGTTCTATTAAATAAAGTAAGTTGCGTTTGCTGGTTTGCTTTTAAGCAGTCTATTTATTTACTAACACAAAGCTCAACTTTGAATAAAATTGCTGCTGCGTGGCTGCAGCATGACCCAGGTCTGGAACATCAAAATGACAGAATTAAACAAATGTATTCACTTTATTTCATGCTTCAAATTAACATTTCATTCTAAGTCATCTGTATTTTCCCACTGCATATTAGTATAAACTGTATTTCTCTAAAATTAACACGATTGTACTCTGAGCACACTAAAAAAAAGAAACATATGCTATACTCACCCTGCCATGCAGGTAAAGTTGGCTGTGAAGACGTAGTTCTCTAGTTTGTTTACTATGACCCAAGCCTCGTACATAGCAGTCTTGTGTCCTTGTCTTTGGCTAGGAAGGACTTCTGCCTTCAAGACGCGAAACTCAGAGTCTATGTTGTGATATTTTACTTTCTGTACGTGGCCACAGACAACATAGTTGTATGCATCTAACAATTTGTATGCCTGTAGCTTCTCACGTGTGTACTTACTGGGCCTCTCCACTAAAAACGTATATATCGGGCCACTGGATATCTGGCCACGCACCTACATCTTCCACCCATTCCGTAATGCCACAGGGATCCGGGAGTCTGTTGCCATTCATTAAAGTGAGTTAAATAATATAACATTCAAGATTTGCCGGTGATAACCCCACAGCATAGCTTGATAAAGCCTGAAACAGCACCATTCTCTGTTGCCAAGCTGCGCGCGCATTCTCGCTGACGTCAAACAGTAAAAGGGTCTATAGAAATTGCATCCTTATGTCATTCACTTCAAGTGATAAAATAAAGTTTAGAGCTTTTGATTAAAAAGTCACATAAGCACATTATTGGGAATTACACTGGATGTGCATTAAGCTGAAACTCTGATTTAGGGCAAAACAAAAACAAGGCGCTGTATAAATGATAAATGACCTGCTCTTCTACAGCATCTTTTTGAGTCAGAGGACTCCAAAGAGCTTTACACTACAGTGATTCATCCATTCACACTCTGATGGTGATGAGCTACATCGTATAGCCACAGCTGCCCTGGGCCACACAAACAACACCAGTCCCTCCAACCACCACAAGCAGACAAGGCAGGGGAAGTCCAAGAACACGACTTACACGGATGGATCCTGGGATTGAATCAACAACCCATCAATTACAGGGCAAATTCCTAACCACATAATCCTGTGTTTATTTATTTATTCATTTATTGTTTGAATGCTGTTAAGCATTCAGACTATTGTTTTCCTGTTTTTCTTTCTTCTTCTTCTTCTTGCTCTTCTTCTTCTTCTTCTTCTTCTTCTTCTCATTCTGCTTCCGTACACTTTTTGAACCTCTTCTTCTCCTTCAAATTTTGAGCTATTTCAACAATTTTATATCAAAACGTTCAGCTCGTTAAGCTCTTTCCGGTTATTACTTTTGGCATTGATATCTTTAAAATTTTTCGAGTTATTAAGCTTTTTCTGCGAAAAATTTCCCATTGTTATTCAAAGTTTAAAAGAGTCATGTGACATTGTACATTGTTTTGAAAATGCAGACTCCTGTCATCTGTTACCATGGCAACTTAAGGAACTACAAATCACTTTGACCAACTCTCATAGGAATGAATATAAAAAGCAGAATATTGAGCCATTAACAGACTCCTGTTTTTGATCTTTTTGAACTGTCTGTACTTAAAACTAGAAATAAGTTCAATTTGATTGACCATCAGAAGGTGGGAAAGTGCCCTTCTCCCTCCCAGCTCCCTGATTGGTTGAGAGAGGTCAATCATCTTCTGGCTAAATGGAATTACACACCTACGCATGTGAGACATCAAATCGATCGGCTTGGGCTAAGGAATCCATCCATCCATCCATCCATCCATCCATCCATCCACCCATCCATCCATCCATCCATCCAATAAACCATCTAACATCCATCCAACAATTCATCTGTTATTTCATTAATCCAACCATTCATCCATCCCATATCAAATCTAACTATATGTTAATCTATCAGTTTCAGATATCAGCAAATATTTCTAAATTCACAGTTCAGCCAATTGTAAAAATATACCCGTTAAATTATTCTCATTCAAATGCCAGCTGTTTAACATTTCAAATTTCGAGTTTTTATAAATGTTCAAAGATTAAAAATTTCTGCTGTTTAGCATTTTTTTTATCCATTCTTCACCTATATTCTGAGCTTTATTACACTTGTTGGTGATTTTTGCTTCTAAATCTTTAAATTCATTCAGCTCATTTTGACAGTTTAGCTTAGTTTCAGCTTCACTTCAGCAATTCAGCAGCTTCAGCAATCCGTTTCTGAATTCGGTTTATGCTACTCATTTCACAGTTCAACTAAATATAAAAATTAAACTGTTAAACTAGTCCTACTCAAACAACAAGTGTTTAGACCTTTTTGCTGTCCAGATTTTTAAATAATGTTCAGATTTCAGTTTTCTGCTGTTTAGGATTGTTTTGTCCGTTCTTCACTTTTTGTGCTTTATTTACATTTTGGTGTTTTTTGCTTCTAAATCTTTCAAACATTCAGCTCATTTTAACAGTTTTGCTTAGTTTCAGCTTCAGCAATTAGTTTCTGAGTTCAGCATATGATGCTAATTTCACAGTTCAGCTAAATGTAACAATTAAACTGTTAAACTAGTCCTACTGAAATAACAGGTGTTTAGACATTTTAGCTGTCCAATTTTTTTAAACAGTGTTCACAGATTTGAGTTTTCTGCTATTTAGGATTAGTTTTCTTGATTCTTCACTTACTTTTTGTGCTTTTTTTGCTTCTTGAGGCTTTTTGCTTTCACATCTTTCACTACATTCAGCTCATTTAACAGTTTAGCTTAGTTTCAGCTTACTTCAGCTATTCAACAACTTCAGCAATCAGTTACCAAATTTAGCATATACTGCTAATTTCACAGTTCAGCTAAATGTAAAGATTAAACTGTTAAACTTGTCCAACTGAAATAACAGATGTTTAGACATTTAAGCTGTCCATATTTTTATACAATGTTCACAGATTTAAGTTTTATTTATTTATTTATTTTTTGCTATTTAGCATTATTTTTCTCTATTCTTCACTTACTTTTTGTGCTTTATTTGCTTGTTGGTGCTTTTTGCTTCTACATCTTTCAAGACATTCAGCTCATTTTGACAGTTTTGCTTTGTTTCAGCTTCAGTTAAGCTGTTCAGCAGCTTCAGTTCAGCAGCTTCAGCTTACAGTTTCAGCTATCCAGCATTCAAACAGCATTTGTGCAATAAATGCAATTTTTCTAGTTGATAATTATTTTACCTTGTGAAGTTCCTCGTCTAGGCACCAGTGTTCCTGCTTCTCCAAGTGAGCGACTGACCCAAAACAAAGTGTTAAGCACTTGTCAACATCACTATGACAACATTGTCATGGAGACAGCTCTTTAACAGGCATGCTCAGTAAGTGTTGGATGTGTGTTTTTCTAGAAGGAATCTTAGAAATGTGCATAAACCAATGAAGGATGAAGATCTTGTAAATAATTTATGAGGTTTGTAACTGGCTGGACCTTAAGTACCGTTACACAAAGCATTAATTAACATCATGTATTTTCCAGGTTCCAGCACACACACCTTTGAATAAAGAGAAGGCTCTCACAGTCTCTGATATATTCATACCTAACATTACTTTTTAAACATTTTTATCTTGTCAAGAATAAGTCCAGAAGGTAGATCACTAGATCGCTCTTTTGTGTCCATTTAGAACAAGACCAACTTATATTGAAAAATGATATTCTTGGTCAAAACCCTAAACACACTTTTATTTACCAAACCCGCTCTTCAGTGGACTGTGTTCAGTTTAATATACTGACAAAGTAATTACAGGTTTAATATTTAGTGTTACGTGGTTGATCATTCACTAACTCATGTCTAGAGCACAAAAAAAGTTATAAATCTAGTTTTTATAAGCAGATTTTATTTCATTTTGTCACTTTTTAATTCATGACTCTGCTCCTCAAAGCGCTGCATTGGTGCTGCAGACCCTCATGAGGTGTCTCTTGTTGTGGAAGGTTTCTCTTAAACTGGCCTTCAGGACTTTCATCAAAGCTGCAAAGCATCCCAGTTCCTCCTGAGGGTGCTGTTGGGTAACACAATTAGCATGAAATGGTACTATTTCAAGGAGCACAGATGTTAGACCAGATGTGGGCCATCCTGATCCTTGAGGTCTGCTACCCAGCAGGTTTATGTTGTTTACCTGCTCCAACAAACCTGATTTCTGGATGATTAACCTGTTCAGCAGTTCATCAGGTTCTGCAGCAGTCTGTTAATCACCAGCAGATTCACACCATACGTGATTAAGTAGAGAAACAACTAAGACCTGCTGGATAGCAGCCCTCGAGGACCAGGATTGGTCACCCCTGTGTTAGACTCACTGTATCAAAGTGTTGCCTTACCTTGGTGAGTGCACACATCAGCCTTTGGAGCACTGCATCCTCTCTGTGTGGACACACGCTGACCACTGTGCTCACACAACTCAGCAGACAATAGATGGTATGCCTCTGCGACTGTGATCATTAGAATAACAAGTTGATTCTTTACTGAAGTTTCTTAAATGTTTTTACAGTTCTGAGGGAAATATATGGGGAGGAATCAGACTCAAAAGAACGATGTCCGTGTAACATTTTCCTTTGTAACAAACGTAAACACACAGACAAAACTGCATGTACAAACTGATCCATTTGTAAGTACACACATTTTCTACTTTTTATTTCTGAAATTAAACCAATCACTCCATTCCGCATGCATCTTGAAAGTGAAAAGTCTTTGAACCCCCAGTAATAAACTGGGAGCCTTTATCCTAGTTTACATGCATGTAAACTAGGATAAAGGCTCCCAGTAATAAACTGGGAGCCTTTATCCTAGTTTACATGCATGTTAGAAAACCAAACTCGCAAATGAAGTTTGTTCCACTCTGGTACAGTAGGTGGTGACATATGCCCTTTCAAGTTGGCATTCCTCCGGTTAGCTTATACAGCAACACAAATAGTAAACAAACGCTGGCAGGAGTGAAGTAAATCAATTTAAAACAGGATATGCACAAGGGCCGAAGAAATGGACAACAACGCTGCAGAACAGCTTATCTGGTATGTACTGTTTACACATGTTACTTTATGGCAATGCTATATATAGAAGGCCCCTTCCGCAGTCTTGTCACTTTCAGAAGTTACCGGTATCAGCTCAACTGAGCAGTTTACATGCAGATGCAGGTGGTTTCCTGCCGCATTATCTGGGTGCTTCAGCACGATTAGAACCAGTTAGCAAGACTAATGTGCTTACATGCATAAAAACATTACATCAGTCAACTTAGGTCAATAGTTTGTTTTTCTGATGCGCATGTAAAGCACTAAGTAAATTAGCATTAATGGACTTACCCATATATTGGTTCGTGACCAAGGAATGATGTGTTGATTTCTGCAGTCAGTAGACAGCAGAGCGTGTCTCGGCTAGTAGAAGCTGTTAGCATTAGCAACTAAAAAACATGTCAGAACTTCATGCTTGTGTTATTTTTAAAGAAAAAAACATCAGTGTTGCAGAATGAAACAAGTCAGTGGAAGAGCCGTGTTGCTGTTAGCCAATCAGAGGCAAGATGTTCAAATATCATGACAATTAATGAGTAAGACTCCAAATCCTGCCATTTTCCGCACCCCACTCATCTGACTAGCATCTACTTCCTGAAACAGAAGTGCCAGAACTTTAATCTATGGAGAATTACTCACAAGGCATTCATTCAAACTAATTGGTGGTAGTGGTCGGAGGGACTGGTGGTGCCAGTGTTCTGCAGGCCTCACCTCCGTCAGTGCCCCCAAGGGCAGCAGTGGCAACACCGTAGCTCATCCCCACCAGTGTGTGAATGTTTGTGTGAATGGGTGAATGATTGATTGCATTGTGAAGCATCTTGGGGGTTTGCAGAATCCTAAAAAGGCGCTATACAAATTCAGGCCATTTACCATAAAGACCACAGCAAATTAAAAAAAGAAAAAACAAAAAAAACATGAGTGAATGAGCACTTTAAATGCTTGGTGATAGGTAGGAAATCTGAACTTTCTGGTGAACCTCGAAACTTGTTTCCGTCTAAACAAGTGCTGAAGAAGCAAAAATGTTTTTTGAGGAAATTTAAACATAATGTTTATGCACAAGTTTTTCTGGTGTGAAATGAGCCTCAAAACCATTTTTGTACTTGTAAACTGATCTATGCGTAGAAGTAGTTCTTAAGCCTATCATTTATGAGTGTAAAATGATTTGCATGCATAGGAGCCGGAAAATGTAAACACAAGTTACAGATCGAGAGTTCCGCAATGCACTAATCTGTTGAGTCTAATTTCTCTCCATAGAAGTGTTCGCTATTAGCTATTTTACCTTCTTGAGGGCACTAAGAGGCATCCTGTTGCTTCCTCTGGGATACAACTTTGCCACATCTTCATTGTTCAGAACAGGTTCCTAAAATGTAACTGATTATTAAACTTCAGTCCCAGAATCTGTCATGAATGCTCCTAACCTCATGTTGGACACCACTTACCCGTAGCTTCTCCAGCCAGGTCCACAAGAGCCACGAGAGAACATGTGGGTCAGACTCTGTAACCAGCAGAGACCACCCACAATCACTGCTATTCAACTCCTCCTTTTGAAAACATGGATTTTATTGTAAATATAATGTAATCACAGTGATGCAGTTAAAGCGGCTGTAACCTGATGTGTACCTGCAGCAGAGTAGACCTCTGCAGAACGGATTCACCTGGAGGATCTGGTTCTGCCATTGCTTTGGCAACAAGGCGGGCCATTGAGGTTGGACTGGGATTATGTGGATTTCTGTTCAACTTTAGGTGAGAAGGGTCAAATTGTTTGAAGCATCCACAGCATAGCTTTTAGTTTCATTAGGTTACTCTAACTATAGTAGAAGTTTACCTCCTGGTTGGAGGCGAACTTTTGTTTTCCCTTTGTTTCTGAACACTTTGTCCTCTTCCCGCAGCTGTGGCTCGTTCTTTCACACTCTTGAATTTGATAGGATGGATTTTCCCTTTTAGTGGTGAGTTGAGTTGATAGACTTTGGCCAAAGACTGGACTAACTGGTCTCAGACCAGCCTGTATTAGATCCTGGACACACCAGTGCTTCTCATTTCTGAGTGCAGCAGTGCACAGGGAGCTCACTTCCTGCTCATTTAGGAGAGAAATAAAAACCTCTGTAACCACACTGATTTTATTTATAACAGCTGTGTATGCATTGTGTGATTTCTCACCTCTTTACAGATCCTGCTAAGGTCAGAGTCACTGTAGCTCCGTTTGTCCAACAACACCTCCCACCTCCTCTCCAAAAACTCCCTAGGCTCATCCCAGGAGGACGCTGACCCTGAGCTAGCCCTCGGGGCCTTACAGTGCTCGTTCAGCAGGGGCAAATACTGTTTGGACACAAGCGTCTCTCTCACAGTCCTGCCTAAAATCCTAAGTGCTGATCGCCTCTCTAGCTCAGCATGGACCTCTGGAGGAGAAGGCAGACCCAGAGCCAAGCAGGAGAGGCGCACACACAGGAGATACACCACCTAATCGAATGTGAAACAGGCCAAAAAGAAGGTGGAAGGTTAAGAGTACAGGGATGTTTAGTCCTAAAAAGATGATGACAAAGTTCTGACCTTGGGCGTGTGTCTGAGTTTGCGTGCTTCCTGTCCGTGCAGCAGCAGCGCCTGTCGGTTCAGGTAGTGCTGCAGGGTAAAGGGAGCGCCGTGCCGCAGGCTGAGATCTGGATACTGAACCAGCTGTGTGCCAAGCAGGCGGGCAAAATCAAACACTTGTTTTATCTGCGCCCGCGTTTGGATAGAACGAGGCCGTCTGATGCGCACAAAGTGAACGGCCTCGCTGGGGCTGATGCGAAGGGTGTAGATCAAATAACAGGCTATCAGGACCCCTTCAGAGCAGCAGAAACACAACAGTAACACACCAGGCAGCATCAAGCGGGATTATTTCTGGGAACGCCAGTGTATCCATGCTAAATCACACCTGTTCGTCCGAGACCTGCGTGGCAGTGCACAGCAACCCGCCCTTCTTGCACCGCAAAGGCCAACACTTTCACCCCGTCGATGAGCCCCACAAGAGACGTCACTCCAAAATCCGGCATCCCAAAGTTGTAAAAGTAAACTGTAAGAAAATAATCCAGTTAATTGGAAACAATTGTTACTTTATGTCTAATGTTTATGTCTAAGTCTATCAAATTAGGGTTAGGTCAATGTCTGGTTTAGCTGTTTATATTTAAACGAAGTGTAATGCTTCTCAGTTTGTCGGCAGCTCACTGTTGTTGTCCATGAAGGTCTGTGGAAGGTACGTGAAACCACTTTCAGGGTCCAGAGTAGGTCCACAGTGTGCATGCTCCCCTGGGAGCTGCATGTTGATGATTGATTTGATCTTTAACCTGGGAAATCAACATTTGAGCCTTTTTGAGTCAATATAAACTCAACAAAAGGACATCTAAGAAGAATCATCACCAAAAAGCAAAACCACAAGCTTCCTTAGCCACATTTACTTGATGAATGCAACCAACTAAATCCATTTTTGCACATTTCTGATCTAGAGTTGTTGCCACCTTTTAGTTTAATGTATGTGTGTTTAATATGTGCACAATCACTAAGTAAGTACCTTTGAAATTGCTCCACGATGTTATACTTCTCGATTAGTTGATTGGATGGTCGGGCCATTGCAATGATATCATTTGTCACCCTGGAACAGTCAGATGCTTTTGATCAGTACTAAACCTCTTCCGGTTTAGTTTACAGCTACAATTTTAACACTTATGAAGACTGCGGGGAAATAAATATTCGCACCAGGAAGAGAAAAGGCCTCGGATGACTTGTTGGTTGGATTTCCAGCACTCTGGCCCCTCGTAGCGACAGTCCTTTCCTCCACAGGCCAGCAGACAGAGGAGTTTGGGTGGGATTGCTCTCACTAGGTTCTCCCTGGCCTGGGAATAGGAAGGTCGAGGAACTGGCAGGTGTGGAGTCAGGCCTGACATCATCCTGCATGTATCAGCCTTTGATGTAACACAACATGTTAAAAACATTAAAAAAAATGTTAAAAACAAAAAGAAAAAAAACTTGTACATTCAATGTAACAAATCTCATGGCGTACCTTTATTATGTTGGGACAGGGAAGGTTTTTGCTCCTCTATCTTGGCTCGCTCTTTGTATCTCACACTGACAAAATGGAGTAATGACCCAGCTCCACTAATCCTGATTAGCCGTCATAAATACATTAGAGCAGACATTCATGAATCCTAGCAAGCCAATTATATCATGTTTATTCCTTCCCCTCTGCATATGACCCAATTACTTGCCCCCGCGCACGTCTCTGTGCATAAGTTCATGTTAATTGTGGTGCTGTGCAAATTGAAATATTAATCTCATCCCATTTAACATGGCCTGTGTTGAATGGACTAAACTGATTTAAATGTGCTATAATAAATGCAAACATGGCCTCATAAAATTAGTCACTTCTTCATTAGAATGTCACAGTTCAGAACCAGACGTGACAGAAAATGGTACGTGGTACGACTTGAAAAACTTAATGGGTAAAACATAAAATGACTTGTTTACATAAAAAAATTGTCCAATCGAATCCTAAACCGGGTCATTGCCAAAGCCTGCACTTCCTCTTTCAGCTACAGTTCCTGACGAGATGACGGCTCACTTTTCAAATGGTTTATGAAATAACCAGATTCAAGTGGCAAATTTTTCCCTATTTTCTTACGCTGTAAACACACAGATGTGAAGACAGCTGCAGCATCTAAAAGCCTAAACTGAAATGAACCAATGAGGCTAGTGTTTGCCAGACAGCATAACACACGTTTACTCACTGTTACACGTTTATTCACTTTGATGTGCTGCAACACCACTCGCTGTGTGTCAACACCGAGAACGCTTCCTTCCCACTTTTCTTTTGGACAAATGAAGCTGAAATGGAACAATTCATGTTTTTGTGGTTTTTATTAAAACACAAAGAATGAGTGGAAAACAGTCCAGAAGTATTTAAACAGTCAGAAATCCAGATCCATAATTCAATCGAGTAGTAAGTAAGCCATCTACGCTCCGTAGTGAGCTTCTGCTGCGCTAGGCACAAAACAAAGAGCTTTAGAACATTTTTTACTTGCAAACAGTATAAAGACACAAATCAATCGTAAAGAGAAGCGTTATCTAATAATGCTACAAGGAATGAATAGCTAATGTTTGTGCAAAACGGGACCAGAAGGCACACAGTTCTTTTTTTGGAGTTAAACAAAAATCACTGCAATCCTGCTTCAATTCCCTCCACAAAAACTTCACAGAGATGGGCCAGCATGGGATCGGAGACACGGCAGTGAGGAGCCCAGGGTCGCATTTGTGAGGGAGTCGAATATCCACAGGAAGCTAAAGGGGAACGGCCTGCTAAGCGTCCTTCACCAAACCTCTGGAGTAATATCTTCATATCCCCCCAATAAGGCTCAGGAAAGGTTGTAAAGGAGGTCTATTAAATTTGTGTTGCTATGAAATATCCAAAAGGTCTAATTTGCTCTTTATGAAACAGAAAATACCTGGAAACAAGGGCAGAGAAACAAGAGACTATAAAGAGAGAGTCTGGTAATATAAGAAAACAAGTAAATGTCATGGATGATTAGAGGTCTAGAGCTTTGTCCATTTTGGGAACATTGCTGCCGTTTCTTAATCGAGTGTCTGTGCCTTCTCCCCCGTCCCGTCCTGTGGTGTGGCGTTCAGTCTCCCTCCTCGGTCCAGTTTGTCCTCGATTAGCTCTTGGACAACTCACTGGATAGCCAGTCAAGCCCTTCATAGAGCCCAGTGCCCTGGGTGGCGCAGGTTGACTGAATGTGCCACTGTAGTGAGAGATGTCATGAAAGAGATCAGGAGATAACAACAGCTCTATAGTTCAAACTTTACAGGAATAAATAGTTTCTAGTCAACATTGCTCACAGTTTTGCTGCGGAGAGAGTGCAACCCAAGTCTGTCTGTTAGTTCGCTGACTGTTAGGGCATTCGGAAGGTCTTGTTTGTTAGCAAAGACCAGCAGAACAGCATCTCTCAGCTCGTCTTCCTGCAGCTACAGACAGAAAGCAGACACCACAGATTCCACATTAAACCCAACAGAAAAAAAAATCTGAAAAAATAAAACAAACAAGTCCACCATTACAATTTCTGCTTAAAATTATTCCCCTCTAAGATTTGTGAAGAGTGTTTTACTGATGACTTTGTAGTTTGGATCTTTGGTCCAAGGACACAAAAACAATAAAAGGAAAGGCGTGTGAAAAGCTTCAGCTTGGTTTTGTTTTTATGACAAGCCAATTATCTTGTGTTCAGCCATCCTATAATATAATGCTGAACGATCTAACCTTTAATTGATAGCTTACCAGAATAACTCTTCCTCACTGGGATGCTGCAGTAGCTCGCTAGCTCGTTGTTGATTGTAGTAATCAAGAATGGCACTGAGGCTGTACCAGTCTCAGGAGGATAAATTGTTGAAATATGTGGATCATCTGTTAGATCATATCTGTGAGTTTGCATCATAGCTTTCCCAAATGACTTGTTTTTTCCTTACAGGAGCTAACACTTAGCAGCGTTGCTGCAGTCATGCTAACGGGACTCGTCAGGAGTCCAGGATGACCGATTGCAGTTCCAGATGGATATATAGATGTAGGTTATTATTTTAAAACAAACCTATTGGTTAAAAAAAAAGTGTGTAGGACTAAGACATACGCAGGGTTTCCCCCAGAAAACTTGCTTGGCCTGGTGCAGCAGGGAAGGGGGGTGTGCGCATGGATTGTTCATCATCCCTGAGAGCGAGAGGTGGGAGCTGGACGCTTTGTCTGGCTGTCGACCAAGCAAGGCCTGGCAGCCCGCCAGGCTTATAAGGCACCGGGGGAAACCCCGATATGGCTCAGACTTTTTGCTGTAGCTGTCGATACAATTTTCCGTAATAATTAAGAGCACAAGAAGTAAACAAAATTCAGCTAATCACATTGTACTGGCAGCAGAAGCTTCCATGTGAGACATCTTTGAGTGACAGATGCGTTTATGATGATTTATGAAAACACTCAATCACAATGAAACTAAACCCACTTAATAGTTATATAGTAAACTGTAGTTAAACTGAATTCCTACACTTTTCATGTAGAACCTGGCCAGTATCATTAAAGGGGAATGAGGCAGTTTTGACTTGCTTTTAGAACACCCTAGTGCCAATTTGAAGAACTAAAAGCAAAACCTATCTCCTCGCTGTGTGTGTGTCTTTAACACTGGCTGAAATGTCTCCCCAGCATCCTTAGTGTCTACAGGAGTGATTCATCACCAAATTAAATAAATCAGCTGTGTTCACGATCTAAAACATGCAGGAAACCTGCTGGAATCAGACCGCAGCGCCAGGGATGTCAGCTCCATTTTTTCTTAGTCCCAACAGAGCGATCTGCCAGTTTGAAGATGCAAGCGGAATATTCAGACCACAGGAGGCGACAGGGGCTGGGTGGCCTGCTATTAACCTTAAACATACTGGCTCAAGAAAATGATTTTAAAATATGAAAAGGTTGCAAAGTGTCCCTTTACCACTTTAGACTCCCTCAAACAGCTCAGACACCTTTTCCTTGGTCTGGAAAACAATTTCTCAAGAAAGATTTCAGATGCATTTCAGCTTCCTTCTTTTACTTTTCCCTTTAATAAACTTGCTTACAGGAAGAAGAGCAACACTTCCTTTTTGTGTTGAAACAATGAAACAAATGAAGGAAGATTCAACATCTAAAACACTTGGGGGTAAAGCCACTCCTGTGTTGTGTGATCCACCTCGACATCAAATGTGGTTGACATAATTATAAAAACGAATCAAAAACTAATAAATACATGATAGCTGCAATTCTAAAATGGTTTAGCACAGCAAATCACACAAAACCATCCAACTGCAGGTGAAAACAGCACTTCTGTGCAGTTATACTACTAAAATCAACTATTTGTTAAAACCTATAAATACGTAATAAGAGCTTTTTCTTGATTTCAAATAATTAAAATATAAAGTTACTGCCACGGTAAATGTGTGAAATACATACCATCTTTGAGAGCTCCTCAGCAGATTCAGTAACTCTTTCTCTGTCGTTACTGTCAACTACAAAGATCAGGCCCTAAAGGAGGGAAAAAAAAAATTACATGATTTTTATTTTAAATCTACATAACAAGGTTCACTAAATCTTTAAGTTATATTGGGGCGAAACAAAGTAAAATATATATACAGTAATTACTTTATTTTTAATTAACTACAATCAAGAGCTAACAAATTAAGTAGTTAAAAACCAAGCAAGGAAAAAAGAAGCACTTACTTGTGTGTTCTGGAAATAATGCCTCCAAAGAGGTCGGATCTTGTCCTGGCCACCCACATCCCAGACCGTGAAACTGATATTTTTATATTCTACCGTCTCCACGTTGAAACCTTCACAAGGGGCATAAAGGAAGCAGGTCATAATGAGGCTGCCCTAAAATATGACATCCAAATAAAATGGTGTAACTTAATAAATTTGAGTTTCTACAGGAATGTCTCACCGATGGTTGGGATAGTGGTTACAATTTCACCAAGCTTCAGTTTGTACAGGATGGTTGTTTTTCCAGCAGCATCTAGTCCAACTAAAGAAATGTGATCAGAATCAATATTTGTAATGCAAGATAAGCTGAATAAAATAAACATGTTTTAAAAGCAGAAGTATATATATATATATTCTTTTTTGATCATAAGCCAGATAACTGTTTAGACTGACGTAAAACTAATATCTTTAAACCCCACAAAATTTTTCTAAAATGTACATTACACTAAAACTAGTCCAAACAGAGTAATTTTGCTTTTCTTTACCACATAAACTTTCAAGTGGACTTTATTAATATTCAGGTTTCTCTTAGTCTTCTGATATTTTTTTCTATAAATTTGCTTTTTTAAATGTTTAATTTTCAATCCATGAATCCTCTGTAAATAACCAATTTGAAATTACATATTTTGGGGATTTTTGTCACGAGTAACTTATAACAATTTTCTTTTCCCAGTTTATTTGTCTGAATCTTTGTAAGACACCACAGATAGCCCAAATGAAATTTAAGATAAAAACAATCTTGACAAGTGGATTATAAATGAAAGGATGATGCATTGATATGAATATTTTTTTCAGGTATTTACCAGATTCCCCCCTCCCCATTAACTACAGACATTTGTTTAGCCTGCCACTCATTTGCTGAATTTTAAATTCAAAACGTTTCATTCTCCCCTCTTTTGTGCATTTATCTCATTTACAAATATCTGTCCTGATCAAGTACAAAACTATTGAAAATCAGTGAAAAAAAAATCAACGAAGATAAAAAATTTACAAGGTCATATTGATTAAAATTACTTAATCGGAAAATAGTTTTGAATCACAAATGGAGTTATGCAAACGATGATCAACCAAAGCAAACCCCTGAAAGTCATCTGCTGGCCTTCGTTGGATATAATTTATCTAACGTAACTGAGATCTCTTAATGCCTTCCTGTACTGGTTCAGTATATCTGTTACTACTTTGTACGTTTTCTGCTGTCTTCTGTGACAGTTTCAAGCCTTCTTGTCAGCTTTTTATTTATTTTTTTTATCTCGTTGGTCCTGTTTTAGTTGCCTTTCAAACAACAGACGCTAACATTAGCTAAAGTAAAACGCCGTTAACACATCTCACTGACAAATGTCATCAAAAAAGAGAAAAAAGAAATTAAAAGTGAATAATTGGATGTAACGTTTCAATTTTTTGCTTTTAAAAACAATAAAAAGATTTTAAGCGTTTTTAACATCGCTAGCACATTAGCTTGCTTGGCTTGACTTTAGCTTCTCTTGTCGTTGAGCGAGGCTAACTCCTTTAGCTCAACAAAACTTATACTCACCCATCAAAATCCTCATTTGTTTCTTTCCAAACAGCCGGCCGAAGATGGACGAAATGGTGAGCCCCATAACTGGCCGAGAACAGTTGAACTTACAGGGCTAGGTGATATTAACCAGGAAGAAGAGAAATATTAAACACCAGACACCGATCGCGTTTCAAAGTGCTGCATAGACTGCCACGTCCGGTGTAAACGTGGAAGACACCGCGTCATCAGTTTGAACTAGCTTAGCTTTATTCACACCATAGACAAACAAACACGCTCAACCTTCACAAAAAATTTTGTTTTGTTTTATACTAATTTTGTGGTACACAATAAATATTTTATAATAAAAAACAATTTAATGCAGAAGAAAACATTTAATATTGCGTTTTACTATGGATGACAGTGATTTACAAACTTGCCACTAGATGTCACTGTTTCACAGATGCACACTCACATTATCAAATTGATTTATTTTATTGATAAATATATAACGTACGTACTTTTATAAATTCTTTTTTATTTTTGATTATGATTTAAGTTTTTTGCTTTAATATTTCAGAGTGGCAGCAAAGCAAATATACATATTTCTGAATTAGGGGAAATTCTTAAGTAGAGTCCTTGGAGCTGAGACATGGGGTTTTCTGTTTGGTAATTCCATCATCAAAGAAAGCTGGCAAAGATATCTGCCAGTCCAAGGTTCACACCTGTACAGCAGGTGGAGTCAAAACACAGACACGTGACATGGTGAGCACCTCATAAAAGGTGTCTCATGATGAATTAAAATATTTTCACTGCAGCCTGTAATGGAGAGGCCTGCTTTAACTGAGCACATGCTGGATTTAAGTTTTGGATAAACTGAACATACTTTAAAAATGGGTGATAATTTACTGGATAATGAACTTGTAAGTAAGAAATTATTTCTTAGACATTGATCAATTAAATATGTCTTGTCAATATTATTGTCTTTATTTTCATTTTATTTTTCAGATTAATACTCTCTCTATTGTGTACATAGTGTTGCTCACTCCCAGGTACTGTTCCCTTCTTTCTTTCTTTATTTTGCATTAAATAACATTTCTTGATGGGTTCTTGGCCATATTTATGTAATTATACGTTCTGCAGCTCATTGCTTGCCTGTCAGCACTCCAACAAAGGTTTGCCAAACCAGTCGGGCAACATGTTAAAAAAGACATTTATATTTTACTTTTGAATTCCTGCATTGTTCTTACATAATGCTGAACAATGTTCATAGGACTTCACCCAGGTGGAATTTTACAGCCCTGTTGTCACCGCACCTGAGAGGAGTCATCTATATGTTTCTAACAAGCAGAATGAGGTTCAAAACTCAGGAGCTGACTGGGTTTAGTATTGTAATGTCATCATTTTGTTTCTTATTCTGACAAGGCATCATGTCTCCTGAGATTTAGTAGTTTGGCATTGATAATTTTATAATTTTTCAAAACTTCAACAATAAATCCTCAGCAGTTTCTTTTTTCATGCAAATCGAGATTGGAAAAAAAGCTTTTTGAGAAGCGGTTATCGTTTCCACGTAGCCACAAAGACAACTGTGTACTCGTTCTTATTAGTCTTACTTAATATTCTAAACTCTCACTAATAATAAAAAATTTAAAAAAAGATTCTATTTGAATCCAGCTGTTCTCATACAAATGTTTCCATTAACAGCTTTGGATCTGAATCATCATCAGATTTCTATAATTTATATATATATATATATTTTTACTTCAACATTGAAAGTTTTTAATTAAATTCACACGCCATATTTTTTCACAGTGTAATTGGGAGTTTTTCAGTCCTGGTGACCTCTATAGTCAAATGGAGACGTTTAAAAAATCAGGTGAGTCCAGGGGTTTGCACTGATAAAGCAAACAAGTGTTGAAGACACCGTGTCCCTTTATTATTAGCTGATTTTGTTTTGCACAACAATTTTACAACAATCCTACATCTTTAATGTACCCCCGTCCCCTCAGGTCCACCTCTTGGTGCAGCTGACCCTGGCGGACCTCCTGGCCGCCTTGATCTTGATGCTGACTAGTGTTTCGAACAAACTTGAAGCCAACACAGACATCATGTGCCAGTTCAGCCTTCCACTTTCTCTGGTGAGCAGCTGCAGGATGAAATGCTTTCCTCAAAAAAACATTATTTACAACACTGCCTTTGTGGGTGAGAAATAAAATTAATCAGGGAATCGTTTCATTAGAAAAATGAAGGAACAGAGAAGAAGCAGCCATCGAGATTTTATTGTTTTCTTCCTGTAGGATCTGAGGCATGAGGGTTAATAATTTGATGGCTGTCAACTGGTGTAACTGTAAAAAAAAAATCCCAGAGTCACTCAGTAAAGACCTTGTGTTCACTTTATAGAGCCGTAAAGCACTTCTGTCATGTCTTTCAGCTGTATGTAAATATTCCCTTGAGACAAAGACAATGTTTTATGTAACACGGCTCAACGTGGAGTTTCTGGAATTTTTATAAGAACATTTGAGGTTTTGATTAGTCAAGAAACAAGGATGAATGGAATCCAGGAAGCAAGCCGGTGTTGTGTAACTTCTTCCTCCCACTGTGCAAAGACCTGGTTTGGACGTCCTACAGACGCGGTCTAGACCCACAAACTTAGTATAGACATGATCTGCACGTCCATGCAACGTTGACTGTTTGCAGGGCTGTGGATTTGTTTTAATATCAGTTATCGAACATCTCCAAGACTGACTGCTAAAACCCGGGTGAAGCAAGGCGCCTGTGTGAAAATGTTAAAAGCTTTTAGTCAACTTGTCTTCTTCTGATTCATGCACAACAATATGTGTCATTACTTGCTATTAAAACAATAAACGTGCGTCTAGTAAGAAACTGTGACACTTATGTGGTGCAAAATAATGTTGATACTTGTTTCTTTTTTATTTGGTTTATGTGGAGCTGTGCACGTGCTGATTTCCTGCTCAGTCGACAGAGAGCCAGAAGGAAATCTGGATTCGCTCCATTTGTTTTTGTTCTAAATGCTGCAGTTAAAATATAAATTATATCAGAAGTTTCGTTAATCTTTGAACTGATAGAAAATCCATTTTTGGCTTCAGCGGAATGCTACCCATGGTGTGCTCTGACACGTTTCTCTGTCTGGAAACAACGGTGCTAACTACACGGTTGCATAACTCGCACTGAAACAATGTTCATCGCATGATCAAGTTTTCATAAATTAGTACGAGCATGTCCTGAGCATGCATAGCTGCATCTTGTTTTTTTATTCTGCTTTTCTGAGAAGAAGATAATGTAATCCTTTAAATGTTGCCTAATCGTAAATGATACATCAGGTTAAAAAAATACTGTAAATTATATTTGTTGACTTCATGATTTAACTGTAAATTTGTGCTTTTGTATTCTCTTCCAGACGTTTTATTTCATTTCATTTCTCCTGGTGGTTGTTTATGCCTGGAAGTCGAAGAACGCCGTACAGGGATGGAGAGACACGGCCAAAGATGATGATCACAGACGGGTGAGACATCTGCAGATTAAGGATTTTGTCAAATGAACAAAATTTCTGTTGTTTTATGTTTTTTTTTTTATTTGTCTTGATTTGCAGAGTCAATGCAGAAGAACAATGGTAGCAATACCGATTTACATCATCGTGTGGTGAGTCCGTCATTGAAACATTTTAAAATGTGTTGCTTCGTTGAGCTGGTCAGTCCTAAAATTATAGTTTAGAATCATTTGATGCAGGAAAGCTTGGAGAAACAAAGGTTAGTTGCAACTGGATTGACAAGCTAACAGCTAGCCACATTGAGGCCAAATAGGAAGTGAAGCATTGACGACTCATGACCTTTTCCTCACATCGACTTCACGCTGGAGGCATCAGCGACGTGGAACAGCAGCAGAATGTTGCTGCTTTAAACAGAATCCATTATAGTCTACGGGTTGATTCAAACTGGCCGCGACGCAGACATTTTCAGGTGCATCTCAGAAGCAACACGCCGCGCAGCACCGCTAAACCAGGTCCGGTTCTATTTTTGCTATGAGCCACATCCGGGAAACATCAATTTCCACAGTTAACAGGGCTAGAGGAACAACTTCATAAATGACATCAATTAATGAGGTTCTTCTTCTTCTTGGTTTAATGGCAGATGGCATAAACAAACCGTGACCTTTAGAGTCTCGATGGATTTTGTGATCTTGCAAGTCTGGCAAGGGGGATAGTAGGGAAATTGCTCTGCGACTGAGACTCTTCCGGTGTGGGTTTGCGCGCAGCAAAGCACATAATTAAACCGCTCCGCTGTCGTTCCGCGCCGCTGATGCCTCCAGTGTGAAGTCAGGGTCAGACGTTCATCTTAAAGGAATTAAATTAGCATGTTGCTTTATGGAGTTGACGGTGTCCACATCTTTATGTTCCCCCTCTTTCTCCATTATTACAGGGTAGTTCCACTCGCCTGTTACCTGGCTTATGTCATCGCTGTTAGGATTGGAACTTCCCAGTTGATTCCAGTTACCACTAGATCCCCAGACATGACCACCCAGAACAATAACACATCCTGCAACAGGTAGGCACGCAACTATCGTAATCCGATGTTTAATATATATATATATATATATATATATATATATATATATATATATATATATATATATATATATATATATATATATATATATATATTTTTTTTTTTTAAAACACCTCTTTTATTTATTTAAGAGGAAAAAATGTTTTCCCTGGATGTTTGATTCTTTTGAATTGTTTTTTTTTCTTGTAGCTGCATTTTATTCTTGCACATCTGGAACAATTCCTGTTCAGTCGAAAGAACAGAAGTGAGAGCTCTTACACAAGTTCTGCATTTTATTGTATTCTTTTTTTATAGTTGGTAAAAATATGTTTTTCTTCCTTCCTAAACACCTCAGAATAAGTTTGTAGATAAATTCATCAGGATTGTCCTCGTCATCGTGGTGATATCAGTGATGATAGTGTGCTCAGTAAGTCAGCGACAGACTTGTTTTTGGAACATTGGACGCCCAGTTCGTACCATCTGATTTCATCGTTGTGGAATTGAATTATTATAATTTTTTTTGTTACAGTTTATTTACTACAAAGTTGAGAAGTGGTATGAATGGCGCACGCATGGCGGGCTTTTTCCCATAGAGGGAGATGGGCGTTCAAGGAGGCGATTTAAAAGAGAGCTTTCCACGGCACGGAATATGGTGTTTGTCATCTTGATTTGCTGGGCACCAGGTACACACACACACACACACACACACACACACACACACACACACACACACACACACACACACACACACACACACACAAATATGACTGATGTATCATCATCCTTCTTCATCCCGCAGCCCTTCTCCTCATTCTACTGTCTACTCTGAACCTACCAGACGTTAAACCACACAACCTTTTTGCACTTTATCTTTTGCAGGTTTGTATCTAAAGTACAACACCCAATGTAAAAATAAAATGATATTTTAGCTGTTTACAATATAGCTTCTTTTTTTTTCAGGCTGCAACGGTATCCCTCCAAGGTTTTCTGAACAGCATGGTTTATGCCTGGAGGCGGCCAAACTTCACAGAGGCCGTTCTTGGGGAGAGCATGCCCCTGCTGGGATATCACCACATGGCCTTTTTTGATGAATCTTTAGTGAGCTGATACTGTGAGGACCACTGTGGTGCTGCACCACACTGCACAGACCTTAGGGAAACCTCACCACAGCATGCACATCTGGGACTGAAACACAAACGGAACTAAACGTGACTAAATGAAGTAAAGAAGGAGCCACAGACACTTTTTAACAAGTAAAATGTCTTTAACTGTTATTGTAAATGCTGTTGATTTAATATCTTTTGGACCAAAAAAGGTTTTAATGTATAACTGTGCCTTATATTTATGATTTTTTGTGTCAGTGTACAGTTTTATCAAAAATGTTAAGTATATCAAATAATTCTAATACTCGTAACCATTTTCCATTTCTTTATTTCAGTTGCTTGATTAACAATGAGCTTCTTTGTCCAGATTGATCAACTTCTTCTACCGTTTTGGTAAAAAAAAGAAATGATTTAAGTCCTTCAGCTGCAATCTCAGTTCATCGTTTATATATAGTGTGGAGTCCATAGGTGGTGAAGAGTTGAGAAATGCACTTATTGCTGTTAAAAAGGAACATGCTATCTGCTCCGTCATGTTTGTGTGCAACCACAAGGGTTGGCATATCTCAGAAGTAATCACTTGTGTTTATGCAGCTGAGGTCACACACGAGGCATGCCAGATATGTTGGAGTTCATTTGCGCAGACACCAGGAGGAAGGTCCACATATCTTTGTGATATTTTCTCATGTCATTTGAGCCCAATGTCACCAGCAGACTGCGTGGTTGGAAAAGCTGCTAAATGATGATGTTTGTGGCGGATTTTCAGAAGAACAGCGCCGATTGTCACCTCATTTATGTGCATTATTAAAGAAAGTTTGAGCAAATTAGAAGCGTGAAGAATTAGGAATGAGAAAATTAGGATATTTTATTTCCTGAATTCTCCTCTGAGGTTTTAGCTTGTCTTAACCCTCACCAAACAAAAGTTATTTTGTTTTATTTTGAAAAGGCAGACACTAACTCAGATATCTGATCTAAACCTTGGTCAGGAGGATGAGGGCTGCAGGTACTTTTTGAAAAAGTGAAACGCATCCTCACGAACTCTTCTTACTCCACAGTTACACTTTGGCTAACCCACATGGGCTCTGTTTGAATGTGTAGTCTCTTTTGGATTGTTTATAATATACATTTATTTTTTACTGCGCCTTACACGTCTACCCATAAAAACACCTGACCAGTGTGAAGAGTTTTGGTTATGGCTTAATACCCTTGCACGACCCAAGTCTTGTGACCAATACCGACGGTACAGAACGTTTTCATTCATTTATGCAATAGATCCCATGATTTTAACTTGGCATAAGCAGATTAGCTTCAACTAAGTACTAAATATGTGTCAGTGATACTTAAATGACTGGTATACGCCTACCTTTGGCCAAATGCTGACACATGCGGAAGGGACACTATTTCGGCTTATTTTCCCCACACAGCATGAGGGATCACTCAACTCACTGGCATAAGAATAAAATAAAACTTTGTTGGATTTTTCTTTATTTTGCAGCTCCATAACTTTCATCAAGACAAAGAAGAATTTGAAAGATGAGCTGAGTTCACCTCTAGATTGCTGAGTCACTTTTTGTAGATAAAAGCTGCTCAGTCGGTATTTCAGCCATCCACTAACCTGAAGTGACTTTCCCTTTAAGCTGTTTTATAATGAGTCTCACATTTCTTTCCTATTCATAGATACTGGAATAAACACATAGACAGATCTAAAGTGTCTCACATATCACGTTTCTGATGGAAATCAATTATTTTAAAACATTTTAAAGGTCGGTGATAATTCTCTGTAATGACTCATGGTCGCCTGAATCCTTTATGGCAGTGGGCCATAATGTTTCAGCCACTAAGTGTGTTTACCTGTTAGCAAAAACTATCCCATTATCCACTGCTTGGATTTTAGTTAAACTTTACAAAGTAGTAATGTACAGCTGATTATTTTAAAGGTCAACCTTCCTCGTACTTTTAAAACATCTGCAGTGTTCTCCAGTAGAAATTAATGCCTTGTAAGTTGCACTCTTCAGCTGGAGAAGAAAGGCCCGGTCCCAACACTCGCACTGCGCCCTACGATCCTCTGCAAAGTGCACTTGGAGGAAGTGCGTTGTAAGGCTTCAGGTGTGTAGTACACAAGTGTGCAAATAATTGCAGTACTGAGACAGTGTGAATGCTGGTTGCTTTCTTTGTGCTACTTTAAAAAAAATCTTTATTGACAACTTTCAAACAAACAATTATTTGACAAAAGTTGCATTTATTGCTGTCCACATTAAATCTTGGTCTAAACATTCAGAGCATTGGTAAATATCATTAATTGTCTTAGAATGATCTTTCATTTTGGGTAGAAGAGTAAATGATAAAATTTGGTTCTAATATTGAAAATTAGATTTTTATATAAACATTCTGGAAGGGGAAAATTTCTCTTTTACATTTTGAATCCTAACATTTAATTGACTCACATCTGAATCAAATTAAAGCTAGAAAAAAAATTACTGGCAAGTCAAGTCCAAAAATACACAGAGAAATATTTGTAATCATAAATGTACACAATAAAATACTCAAAATGTTGATAATTATGCATGAGAATACAGATTTTTCAGAATGGGCACTTGAGCCATTACTCTGCCTTCTTCTTAAAATTCCCAAAGGATTGTGGATAAAACCCTTCGCAAAAATCTGCATCGATGTGGACTTCGGCCCCAGTTCAGATCTAGGGTGCAAAGGAGGCGTGGTCAACTTCCACACTTAGGACACCCTACACACTTGCACCTCTGGACAGGAATGCGCAATTAAAGGGTGGAAGTGTGAGTATTGGGATTGGGCCCATGCAGCTTCAGACGACAGGATTTAGAGTCATATTTCCTGATTTATGGACATCTCGCCTATGATTGGATAAAAACAATGTGACTCTACCACTGAATGTGTTTGCTTTGCAATGTTGATGTTTTATCTCCTGGAGGAGCTTCTGCCGTGTGGCTGAGTTGCTAATGCAAATGGTTAGCTTCCACTTGTCGAGATGTTCTCTGCTGTTTTCTGGACGCTAAACCAACAACCGCCTTCCTCGTCGCGAGTCAAGATGAGCGAGTCCATGAATGTTAAGTGACAGTGTGACGTAGCTCTGTCAGGCTTTTCTGCACCGAGCGTTTCCTAGTCAATTTTCTATCAGAAGCTAATGCAGGAGATTGGTGTAGGAGACTATTTCACGTTCATCCTGAATGTTCAACTCAGAGTGACTGATCATTTTGAAAAATAATTAGTAAAATGTAGTTTCTCAGTTAACTTTTTCTCAGTTAGCTTTTGAAAATGTTGTCAGTTTTACTGATTTCAACTAAAATTTGGTATCTTAATAGGTAAGAGTCATTCACAACCAATAACCTTGATTTTTACAGACCAGACATTCAAACATTTGGAACGCCATAATTTCCTAACATATAGTGCATCGGGAAAGTATTCACAGCGCTTCACTTATTCCACGTTTTTGTTTATGTTACAGCCTCATTCCGAAATGGATTAAATTCATTTTGCCCATAAAATTCAACACACAGCACATCATAATGATAATGTGAAAAAAGTGTCTTTGAAGTTGTTGCAAATATATTAAAAATAAAAAACCTGAGAAGTGTATTTTTTTGAAAACATACATAAAAATAGGTGGTTATA